AGCATGCTTCACTGATTCGGACACAGGTATGTACAGAATGCTGGATAAAAGAATATAAAACTGATAAAAACAGTGACCTCAAATGACCTACAATCACAAAGTTCATGATACAAGTAAAGTAAGGACAATTTTACATATACCATTACGAGAATTATATTAAATATTTTTATACGGATACCTTAGTTTTTATTATTTTTCCTATTAAAGCGTTCACTGCGTTATTTAATTCATCTGTAATAAATACGATACGGGCATATTTGTAAGAAAGTCTTGAACCGCACCGTGACGAACAGAACGAATAGCAATTGACTATTAATATTCAGAAACGTTATGGATTTATTACGATCGATTCGAATTAATGGATGTCGTGTCAATGAACATATCAAAACAATTCGCTTAACTATTTGCAAATAAGTAGAAGGCATTTATTTGTAATGAATAGTATGGATTCCGTTTTAGGTGACCTCGTGGTCTATTGCAGAAAGCTGTCTCAAAGTTAATGGGTCGTTATTTTCAACTGGTTAGTTAATTACATTTATGGTTGTTTTACAATATCTTTCATGGTTCTTATAAGGCCCTAAACATTATTAGTAAAATGAATAAAATTAGTGAATATAATGACATGACATACACAATGTCTAACGTTGATTTATCATAATTTAAAAGTGTTATATTTTTTTCATATCCGAATGCGATTGTGGTCATGGTCAGTCGATCAACGGAGTCAAGCATTGTAATCAACATACGTTCTATAATCGTCACATTTAAGACACCGACATGGCTACAGTAAGGTCGTTGCGCAGGAGCATGATTGGAATACTAAATCTGCATAGAATACTAATCCGATGACGAAATGACATTTGACTAAGTAGATTACGAGTTTGTAGTCAAGCTACAAAACTTGATATTCGAATATAAACAACAGATAAACTATAAGCAATAGCTATAATTGGTTTCTTAAAACCAATTGAGAATGTTAAAGATGGATGGAAACCTAAATTACAGAAGCCAGAAAAGACTCAAAAATCTTGTATTAACAATGCCAATTCTTACAGTACTTCTATATTTAAAAACATGATTTTATGACTTTTTAAAAGTATACATTTAGTAATTATGTTAGTCTATGGTGTTGTTTTAAATACAACTAACTCAATCTAATACGAAAATTATAGTTAATAGAAAATAAGATGGAGTTGATCAAGTATTGATGAATATTAACAAGTCAAAATAAAGTTATTTTGTGTGCAAATGAAATTTTTCTTATAAAAATTATGTAAATTTGTTCTCATAATAACACACTGACCAGGATTATTTTACGAAACACTGCTGCCACTCCTCGTTATGCCGCAACTGTTTGATGTTCAAATGACGCATGAGTTTCTCCATTTAAGTTTCAATACAGCTAATTGTTCTGCGAGTAATCCTAAGAAAAGAAATCGTAGATCTGTTTTCACATTATTATCTGATTGTTTTCTAATAAGCAAGGCATCAACATCAACTTAGCAACGCCAACTCGGCCTTCATATCTAGATCACTTAGTCTTAGAGAATGTGTGCTACATATTACCGTGATGCGCATACAAAAATAAATTAATGTTGAGAAGTAAATAATTTATTAGATATTGACCAACACGTAAACTTTGTTTACTATCTATTCTATAATTGTTATTATATAAAGCTAGAAATAATTTATTTCTTATGACCAATACTGATTTTATGTATAAAAATATTATAGAACAAAAGACATTTGGAATCAGTCAATCTATTTCCACAATTTATTATCAATAAATTATTTATAATACAAAATTTTCCACTTCCAAAGTAGAAGGAACCCTTGAGACAGGTAAATTTTTAACAAGTCAATTTTAAAACCTGTAACTGTTAGGTCCTGGGTAGCTCTGTAGTCAGAGCATTCGTCTAGATTGCGAAAGGTCATGGATTTGAGTCCCATCTCAGAGTGCCAGAGACAAAGTAGATTTTTTAAGCATTTTTCATTACGGATACCATTTTTTTATGAAGATCTGAGTTGCTTGGCTAGATTATACGGGAAAATAGTCATTTACTGTTCTAGTGGAAGTTTACAAATGAGTAATTAATGCCTTAAAGTTCCCGGATGAGCCAGAGAAAACATAGAGTTGAGACGGAAGTCACAGTGCTAATAACAGCAGAGGCTCTACGGTCTGCCGCGCGTGGTCTCCTGCAAGCCACCTCGACGTTATAACGACGCACCAGGATATAGCGCAAACGTGCATTACCATATACTTACAAATTTTCAGAGATACTATTGCACATTGGGCTGCTTTCTTAAATTGATTGAACTGTAATCGAAAATGAGAACTGTGCATCATATATAGAAGACTTTTTTGAAAATTTCAGAACTTAAAAATGGGTCAGGCCCGGTACGCGCCTCCTATTCTAAAAAACTACACAATGCAGTTCTATATCTATTACAGAATGCAGTTCTATGTGACAGGAAAAGCTTTTCATTGGCCATAGACTCCTCATGCTCATAAATATGCCGACTAGGCCATGACGTATTTTAATATAAATACCTATCAGATAACGTGTTTTCCATACTGACCTAATGTGAAACTATGCTGACAGTTATTTTATTTGGCTTTGCTGCAATTGTATAACAAGCAAACACAACTTAACTGAAGATATATTAAATAGTTAACGAGTAACGGCTGCGGCTTAATTTTTTATTTTAGCTGAAGCAACATTTTTCAGAACTTTGAATGTGATCCAAATCGATTAACGTTCCTAACCTTATTATATAAATTCGATGTTTCTTTTTCTATTTGCAATCCAATTTTTTTATTAGGATACTTTACCTAATTAATAAAGTTAATTATTTTTCACGGTGCAAGCTAGTTATAAGCCGGAATTAATGTGTGGTGTCATAGAAGCTGATGTCGGTATGCGGGGATTAAGGAATCAGTTCCGTAGCTTACCTATTACACTACTAATGGGACTAAGTACATTAACCTCATCCCACCCCACAAATAGTGCATATTCAAATCTATATTAAAATTTATAAAGGTTCATCTAAACTTGGTATAAATATAATTCTATCTTGTTTCAGATTTGGTGCAGTGCACTCAGCCTTGACTTTTAGACTTGCTTAGTAATCAAGTTTCTAAAACGGAATTCTTATTGCCTGTCTCCAAGATTTAATGGTAATGCAACGCTAATAAAAATAAAAAAAAAACAGCGAAGCGGGTATTATACTCGTGTACCAAGGGTACCAAGTTCTATACATCATCACCATTCCCCACTACAGGGACACAAAGCTTTCCTATAGATGGAACCGAATCGTATAAGGAAAATAGACCTGTACAAACAAACACGAAATTTCGGGATCCTTTCAAAAAATAAATGGTTCGTCGGCAGCGCCGTTGAAAGTGTCGAAACTTTATTGGAGTATTTCTTTTATTTTATAAACAAAATCTCTAACATTACTAACGCAATCTGTTGCAGTCGAAAAATTTCAAGCTTTTAAAAGGGGATTTATCAACTTGATCCATATTTATGTAATATTAGCTATTTTCCTGCAACTTCACCCGCGTGTAGTATGTAGCTATCCGTAGATGAAAGAATTTTCATAATTGGATCAGTATTTTCAAAGAATTATACAAACAAATAAAGTTTAAGAAAACTTTACATATATTTATGGAATAAAGATTCAAAATGGGAGCAAATAAAAATATTCAATATATTATTAAAGTGAAAAATACCTACTTGAAGCAACTTCTATTGCCGTCGGGCTGTTAATTTCTTGAATTAGGAATTAGGTTATTCAAATGATTTTATTCTAAAAAGAATAGTATACATTCTTTTTCCTTTAAATAGTTCTGGGACAAATAAGCTATATAACCCGTGCCGCTGACGACATGTGACGTCAGGGTCAATCCAGCAGGGAAGGTCACATCAATATACCATCACTGACTGCTGGTTGAGCAATATTAATGAATGCAATAAATCTGTGTTCATGGGGGCGTTTTGACTTTATAATAATATAGGTATCACAGAAGAGAGGTCTGTCTTCCCTCTCTTACCTTTACATTATATTTAAAACATCTTTAGCACATTAGGTAATTTGTATAAAAGCATTTCAATTCTATTGCGAGTTTACATTGGTTTTATCATTTATAAAAGTAGTGTATAAAAGTATTTAAAAAAATAGAAATCGAAATATACGTCAAAATTTAATGAAAAAAGATGTCTATTATTAGTCATTGACACAACCGCGCTATTGTAAGGACAAGCAAAACTACCCTATTTATAGTATTTTAACAGGCAATTGGCAGAATCGTTAACAAGAAAAAAATAGTTTTAATTAACTATATCTTATTATTCCTATATATTTTGAGGTATCGCACCTTACTTTTAGTTTAATTAAGTCCAACACTGTCCTGTCTGCAAGTTCTACAAGAAACCTTTGGAAATTAGCAAGTATGTGTGCTAACACATACTAACACATACTTGCTATCTACAATACAATCTCTAATAATATCTATAGAAATATATATATATATTTTTAATGTGTTTCATCGCATCATAAATGTAAGATTACGAGATTACGACCATCTGCATTAATAAAATTAATAAACAATGTTTATGAACAATCACAATGATATTGCGGAAATCCAATGAATCGTTTAATATGGTTTTTTGTTACTTTTTTGTTCTAACGGTTATTAATTAGTATTTTATAATTTACAAAAAAAACTATGATTGATTTATAAATTATTTTAATGGAAACTTGAGGACTAAAATATTATTTATGGATTTAAACAATTTTAAATATAATGTCACTATTTTTAAAGTTATCAGAAGAATTCTTGTACTGAGAAGTAAGAAACTTAGTAAAAGCCGTTTCGTTTTTCATTTTCATCGATATGCTATTTATATTGTCAAGTAATAAAAAGCGTTCAACTGAATCCTGTTACTGATCGACACTGGTAACAGGTTTCATATTAAGCGATAAAAAATACTCACTATGTTTCGATGAGTTCACAGTTGAGTAGTAGTTTCTCGGGCCCCAACTCGACAACGGCCACCGTCTGGTCGTGGTAATATATCATCCGGAGGGTGTCGTTTCCAACACGACGGCCGGTATAGGGCTTCACACCGGCAGGATCCCGTCGATCCGGTTCATCGGAGCGAGCGCCGGCACCCCCCACCAGCCCGGCTAAAGACCATCCAGCAGGGAAACTGAACGCGAAGGGTTTCGCGGAAGCCGACGGCGGGGAGGAAACCGCGATGCAGAATATCACTACGACTGACAGTAGGGATTTGAGCAGGTTGTCGGCTATAGGCAGCGCGTCGCGCGCCGCCCGCATCGCGCTCATCAGCCTCCGGAACGACATGGTCATTGGTCCATGCCGTCACGTGTGAGTCGCACGAACGTCTCTCGGGGACTGAACGCGCGCCCCGCCCGGCGCGGCCGCCCAACGCTCCGGTGCCGGGTGCCCGCTTTCTTCGTGACGTACCACGTTGTGGTTTCACTCACCGGACCGCGCGCCTTCCGGAACATGAGGAGACAATAAAGAGACAGTGATGGCTTCAGGGTCCGTAGAGGGGCACCATCACACTCTAGGGCGTGTGCTATAAATTGAAAAGTGAATTTACGAACAGGACAAGTTTAGATATTTCTATCTCCTCATAAGTGAAACTGAAATATGACCAGGACTCACCCTAGGGCACAAAAAAACAGTACATGTCTTGGAAAAATAGGACGGCTGGCAACTCTTATCCTTATATAAATTGAAATCATCCTCCGCCCCTGTCATTCACTGTGATTGATACATTTTTTATACATCTTTAGAAAAGTCATTTTAAAATATGGCTCGCTGTGAGATTTATAATACAGTTTGCAATAACTCGCTTTTGAGATAAGTATTATTTTTCCCTTTTTTAAGTTTGAGGTCGGTTCTTATTATTTTTTTTTTTATAGAATCATCACTTTTAGAGACAATTATAAATGACCGAATTCAACAATTCTTTCACCTACGGCAAATTGTATCATACGCGAGTGACGTAGGCTATAATAATTTACGCATGCAAACTTTTTAAAATAAGGTTTTTGTAAGCTTTTTGCTGAATTTCATTTTTTTTATTTCATTAAGTACTATCTAATCACTCAACTATGAGACAATTACAATTATAATACATAGGGATAGGCTTCAAAAATCACTATACGCAGGTGACGTAGGCTATGATTTACGCGTGCGAAGTTACAGAAAAATAACAAGTATAAATAAATGAAGTTATAAAAGAAAAGCATGATGCATTACAATAATCATCATATTTGCATATCATATGGCCGCTTACACTAGCGCATCCCCATGTTACGTGTGAACGGAAGAAGCTAACATGCGCAGATATCAAGTTTCCGTATCACAGTTCCTGCTTGAAAATGTTTGAACCTCTCTATAAATTGATTTAATGATTCTCGGCTTGATTATGCTACGAAAAAATAACTGAGGAGTCAGTTAATTATGCTGATAACACACATAACACGTCTTGCAGAAGTTGGTCGAAGGTTGATTAATTTTATTTTTTGTTTTCTGTTTATAAATAATGAATATCCGTAATCCGCAGTAAGATACGCTTAATTTGTGCTACTGTAGAGTTTGTTTCTAAATTTATTAAAATCAAATTATATAACATCAATGTTTTACCTTCTTGTTTTTTTTTTATAAATACTATATATACTACATGGGTATTTGACACTGTTCTGAAAACTATTTTAAATCATTGTTTGATACATTATAGACATACTGTCAATATAATTCATCGGAATATGTTCTATTTTCGATGAAAATGATTGATAAAGTTTTTAATAGCCAAAATCACGCAAAACTGCGGATCTAATGACACAGATCACGTGGTATTTGTGACGTCACATACCGAACCTATTTATCAACTATTTATTTGCAAAGTAAACAGACGAAGTGAACTCGAAATTAAATTTTATGATTTGTGTTTGTATCTACTCTGGTTTTGTTTATAAAAATGAGCTGATGAGATGACGACAGATTTATGTATAAATACAAATTTTGCGTATCTTTAATAAGACTGTTTTGACGTGACATCTTCTTGTTTATGTGTGACGTCACATGGCGGTAACATAACCTGAGTGGTAAGTGTAAGTTTTACGCTAACTTTAGAATTTGTATGGAGATTTATACTTCTTGGTAGTTACCGCTAGAGGCGCTGTACCGGATTCTATTAAAATCTTAACGCGCTCACTATCGACAGTGAACGTAAACATCAAAAAAACTTACACTAAGCATTCTGTTATCGGTTGCGACGACAACCATTTCTCGTTGTGTCCTAAAAAGTTACATTTTCTTTACGTTATTTTACTAAATCTAAACATATTTTGTTGGCAGATTCAAAGAAATAAACTTTATTGGATTCTGGGGTGAAAACATGTATAGAATAGACACATTCAAAAATATTCATACAGATTACTCGAAAATAATTCATCGGATTAAGATTTTTATTTTACGCTTATATCGCGAAACGTACATTAAAAACAATTACAAAGTAAATTGAAAATCTTGATAGTGTGCATTTTTACTTGGTAAGTGTATATCCACTCTTACAAATGCACCTTGAATATTACATAAAAGCAGGTGAAACCTTACGTGTATTATTTCATCGAGAACTTGACACTTATATAAGCCGTATTTACAATATATACCACACCTAGATATTACAGTGGTCTGTTATATGGGTTTTTAGGAATTCCATCGGATGAATGACTATTAAATAAAAAGAATTTATAAACTTAAATTCTAGTGGAGTTAAAATTTTAAACTCGAATGGCGCTTTGCCTCTGCCATAATTATTTCAATGTATGTCTCAGATGCTAGTATGGTTTTTTAACATAGAAAAAATCTGATTGATAGGTATTTTATTTTGGATGAAGCATGTGCAGTGTGAATGTTGGTCTTAAAACCTAGATTTCCCTTAATTTAAAAGCATTATCCATGAAGATCTTAAAATACCTTCTTTAAATATAATTTAATTATATTTTAACAGATATCAGGTTATCGCAGCAGGTTGGATAGCTAAAAATTTTCTGAACTGTACGTGGTACAAGCTTGTTTCATTTAAAATTATTATTGCTGATAATGTAGCTTATATTGACAAAAGATTTTTTTTACATGTTTGGACATACGTACTTCAAGTAATAAATGTCACTAGTACAAATATCTATTATACTATACTAGTACGCAATATTTAGATTGCGTAATGTAAGGAAACAATAAGCATTGTCTAAATTTTGAATTCAGGAGGAGTTTCCTATTATTATCCACAACTTTAGCTGAGTCAATTAGTGAGATCATCTAATTTTATGAACAATCGTAGGTTAATTTAGGGAATGCTGCCGAAGTAGGTATATCGCGCTGCAACCAATTTCTTTCCAATTTGCTTCGAGTGGATTAAAATAGTTTTATCAACAACACCGCAGCCTGCAGCTAACTCGGACGTGGTTTGCGATGGATCCGCATCCACAATAGCCTTCAATTTTTCATTATTAACTATAAACGTTGGAACCAAAAACGCACTGTGTTTTCTTTTGAGACACAACCGCCATACACATCATTAACTGTTCGAGCCGTTTCCGCAGCACTGGTACCACGGTGGAACTCGTACTCGTAAATAACAAGACATTTCAAGTTTTCCATTTTTTATACTTGGCGACGTAAACAAGACAAACAGAAGAATGAAACCAAATGAATGCCGCCTAATGAAACACAAATACATGTGTAAATGGCTGTATAAATTTGAATTTGGAATTCCCAACCAAGGAGGATTTGTGATTAAAGTGGCCAGTACGACAAAACGCCAATTTCATATGTAAGGACCTAATATATATTTCCTTGTTGGTATACATTACACTATTAATAGACTGAGATGTCGACCACAAAGCCTGCAAAAGATCTAAAAATTTTGATTACCTTGGGATATATTGAATCACTATCACTACATTGTATAAAACAAAGTCGCTTTCCTTGCTACTTAAAACTACACAGCGGATTTTGGTGCGGTTTTTTTTTATGTATAATACAAAGGTTTTTATGTATAATACAAGACCACGCGGGCGAAGCCGATGGCGTTAAGCTAGTGATAAATAAAATAAACTATTACTTAGACAATGTCTAAGATATTGATTTTTTATTATGAATTTAGTAAACATGTTTTATATAACCACCACCGATACTTGGTTTTAGCTATAAGAATATTTGCAATTTTTTGGGAGCGATAAATTAAAGATGTATGTCGTGTGGCTAGTGAATAATTCGGCCGAATATCCCGTTCGGTAAAACTTACACCGAATACTATTCGGTATTCGGTTATTCGGTTAAACCACTACATATTCGGCGCATCTCTAATTCATACCTATCTAGTATCTGTTACATCATAGATTCTCAACGTGGGCGATAACGTCCACTTGTGGGCATTTGAGACTTTCGGGGGGGCAGTAGAAGACCCAGAAAAAATTAGGGGGCATTGTGATGGCGCAGAGGGGGCGTGGGTAGATTATAAATATAGTCTAAAAAGGCAAAAAAATACACGCTAATCACGTAATAAAATAAAAATTAATATCGTTTAATTTTTGTTATTGTAGGTATTGTAATCATTTTTATCACGTGTGCACGTATTTTGGTAGGGCGGGCAATGGATTAAAACCATCATTACTAAAAACTATAAAATAAAAAGAACTACAATCGAAGTTAAAGTACAGAGATTAAGATTATACAATAAAAATTAATTTCCAAAAGATACTTAATATTTGTTGAAATTATAATAAAATAAACATACACAAAACATTAATTAATTTATAATCATTCATCGATGTTTTGTGTATGTTTATAATCTAAGCTGGCAAGCGAACCGGCTTGGGGCCGCGGTCAACCCCTACCATAAAATTTCAGATTTATTACACTAAAATGGCTTATTCCGAATGGTTTTTATTATTTCAAGATGAAATAGATTAAATTACATTAATTTTTCGTTCGTCAGTGTCTTCGGGGCATTCGGGAGTCAGCAAGTGACGTACATGCGTCGACAGCCCGCACTCTGCTCCTGCGTCGCCCTTGCCCCCGCGCGGCGCCCGCCCTTACCTTTCGCGCCGGGTGTTATAAACGAGTCACTGCATGTTTATCTTATTCCTGTCGTTACATGTTAAATATCTCCAACCTATATAAAGGCAATGATTGTTCATTTTATTTTCATTAGCATTATCGCGCGCAATTGAGAACAGGGTTTTAAAAGTTAATCTTTTACTCACGTATCTGTAAAGTGTAAACCATGTCAGAAGCAAAAAAGAAGAGGCGGCAGTATTGTGCGGATTATATTAAATACGGATGTATCGAAAATCCCACAAATCCATCATCGCCATTGTGCCTTATTTGTAAAAAAACATTTTCAAATGAAGCCATGAAGCCTTCTAGGCTTCAAGATCATTTTAATAAAATACACCCGCATAATAAAGACAAAGATGTGACCTATTTTCAAGACATGAAAAAGAAGTACGAAATTCAGCCAACTATATCAAAACTTTTTTCATCAGCTTCTAAGCAAGACGATGACGGACTTCGAGCTTCGTACAATATCTCATTGTTGATTGCTAAAACAGGGAAACCACACACTATTGGAGAAGATTTAATTTTACCAGCAATCAAAGAAGTAATAACCACTGTACTCCATAAACCAGCTGCAGATATTATCCGAAAAATTCATTTGAGCAATAGTTCTGTGCAAAGACGAATAGATGAAATGGCTAAAAACATTGAAGAATCATTGTGCAATTATCTGCAGACTTGTCAATTTTCAATTCAGCTGGAAGAGTCCATTTTACCCACCAATGAAGCACTGTTATTGTCATACGTGAGGTTCATTAAGGATGAGAAAATATGTCAAGAACTATTGTTTGCTACAAATTTGGAAACGGATACAAAAGGAGAAACTATATTTAATACTCTTGAAAAGTTTTGTGCCGAAAAGGAAATTCCTTTGAATAATATTTTGTCAGTTGCTACGGATGGCGCACCGGCTATGACAGGGCGTCACAAAGGCTTAATAGCGTGCTTAAAAAATAAAGTTCCTGACGTGATGAACGCCTCCATATATCACTGCAATATGTCATCAGATCACTCAATAAAATCAGAAGTAACTCGTTGAATGACAGATTATTTAGTCAGCTTTGCATTGCCAATGATGAAGATTTCAACCGACTGCTGCTTCACACGGAGGTGCGCTGGCTGTCAAAAGGTACTTGCTTGACTCGATTTTACAATCTGTTTGGATCTGTGATAGAGTTCCTAGAAAACAAAGACCCAGAATTGCGCGACAACCTCATCTCATCAAAGAAAGATATTGCGTACTTGACAGACCTGTATAAATTGTTTAATGATGTCAACCTCCAACTTCAAGGTGATGACTTAAACTTGATTAAGACAAAAAATAGCATTGCTGCTTTCCTATCCAAACTACTATTATACAAAAGAAATATCGGCAGACGGGAATTCAACAACTTCCCAAATTTATCACGAGTATCATTCAATAACGAAGACTTGCTTGTTTACTGTCAACACTTGGAAAACCTCCACAGAGATTTTAAGGAAGGATTCCAGGACGTTTTAAACATGGACATACCAGACTGGGTTTTGGATCCTTTTTCAAATGTTAACACAACAGGGTCATCCCAGTTAGAAGAAGAACTAATAGAACTGACGACAAATGAGGAATTAAAAATTAAATTCAAGAATGGCTACCGAGAATTTTAGCTGCAGAAGCCGATTTCACGACTGTACCCAGGATTATGGTTGATTGTTCAACGATTTCTGATAGCATTCCCATCTTCTTATTTAGCTGAACGTGGATTTAGTGCTGTAGCAACGTTGGTAACTAAAAAGAGAAATCGGCTTCATGTTACTGAACGCGGCGACTTACGGTTGTTTTTAAGTAAAATCGAGCCTGATATTTACAAACTCCTTAAAATGCATCAAATTCAACCTTCTCATTAGTTATGTCATAAATTCATGTCTTTTGAATGAAAAAAAAATACACCTCAATATAACTAAGCATGCGTTTTAATTGCTCCCATTGAAACATTCTTCTTTCATTTAAACTCAGAAATAGAAAAGGGGTCATATTCCTATCTTACGACTATAATATAATATCTTACGTTTAAATATAATCGTGGCAATAGCTGTTTTAAATTCTTATCTTACGACTATAATATAATATCTTACGTTTAAATATAATCGTGGCAATAGCTGTTTTAAATTAGCGACAGATGGTAAGTAAAATTAAGATGAACTAGAAAAAAAAAATATTCTCAAAGTGGGCGGTAAGCAAAATAAGGTTGAGAAACTGTGTTACATTAATCGCAGTTTTGATAATTTCTGAAGTAGAATGAATTATTTTAGCTTACCAGTAACATCAATTTAGTGGCTTTTTAAAATAAGGCGTGCTTTAGAAAAATTTCACATCTACAATTTCCTCAACTGAATGTCATCGATGCTGTTTACCCTAACTTTATCCTATTCCGTAGTAATAAGGTGTCATTCAGAGTGCGTTATCAGTGAGTACAGCTTGTATCCATGCGGCGTGCGCGTACACATCAGTCGCGGACACGGCCTGTTCCCCCGCGTGTGTCACCGCCAGGAGTCGTGGTTGTCTACCTATGGTAGCCACAACGCCACCGCCCCAGCTAGGCTGTAACAATAGTTAATAATCTCTATTTAAGTAACTGTTAGTGAGGACAAATATACTGTCAATAATTAGTAAAACATCACAAGATGTAGCCGGGATTCGAACCCGGAACTTTGAAGATAACGACAGAATGATGTCCGCTATCTGCTATCAGGAATACAAAGCAATGCGTACTACGCACTAGATGAACATTATGATAAATACACGCATCAAAGCAGATATAAGTATTATTTACTTATTTAGCATCAAATTATCATTTGGAGATCTCCATGTGATTTTATTTATTTATATCAGATATTATATATATAGGTATTATCTCCGAGCACGGTTATAATACATTTTAAATTTCCATAACGACAAATTGCTCAGCTATCGATTGACTGGCAATGGGGACTCTTGGGAAAATTCACAACTGCCAATGTCGTATCTACGACATTGGCTCATTATTATTTATAATGCTATATTGATGTTTAAAATCTTAGTGACAGAAAAAGTATTAGACACTCGAAAAGCTTTGGATTAGCCAGAGACAATTAATATAACGAATACAAACAAACTGCGGTTATACAAATTGAGCTCGGAAGGCCGATGGATCGCATTTTGTGAAAATTTTGTTAGACCTATATATCGTTTTATACTTAAAAATTATGAAATCTAAATATATAGGTATGTAACTCAAAGGTGACTGACTGACATAGTGATCTATCAACGCACAGCCCAAACCACTGGATGGATAGGGTTGAAATTTAGCATGCAGATAGATGTTATGACGTATGCATCTGCTAAGAAAGGATTTTGATCAATTCTATCCCCAAGGGGATAAAATAGGGGATGAAAATTTGTATGAAACTTTGTCAATTTTAAACCGATCGGGCTGAGACTTTGCATGCATAAAGCTACTATAATGTAGGCATTCTTTAAGAAAGGATTTTGATAAATTCCACCCCTAAGGGAATGAACCTTTATTTCAGGTATTTTACACGATATAATGAATAAATATACGTTAGAAATGCTACTCAAAGTAACTTTATCACGCGGACGAAGTCGCGGGAAAAAGCTAGTCTTCAATAATAAAGCATATTTCAAAAATTCGAGGTCGCTACGAGTTATACGACTTTTTTATTTAAATCCTAGAAGCTCAAAAATATCTTCCATAATATTAAGAAAATATTTCCCTACCATTTTGGGTATAATTAAAAAGTAAAGCACAATTTACAAAAGCGATGCCGCTACGAACTTCGCCAATAGCTATCGAGTTATTCTGCACAAATCAATAAGTCAAAATTAGTAAAAAGTAAACTTATTTTTTATTCCGAAATAAAGGAAACCAAAATTGACCATTTTATGCAAAAAATATAGTCAAATGTAATTAGTACTTTTGCCATTAAAATCAAAAGTACCTCGCACTTTGAGGGTTCCGTACTATTTAATATTGAATAATAAAATCACTATAAATAAGAATTTATGCATCATGAAAAATAAATAAAAATGTTTAGAAATGCACACATCAAACCCTTTCATATGACACATCACTTAAACTCTAGTAGCTTCAATTATTTTTTTGTCAATTTTGCATTCAAACTTGATTTTTGTTTTTTGGGCGTCGTTCCAGTATTTTGTCTAGTGCGCCAAGTTTCAGTGGTAATAGGGCGCCCATTTTCAATGAGTCGATGCTGAGTTTTATGTACTTATTCAAAAACTATTTAATAAATAAAACTGACCTGAGAAGTAAACTTTGAATCACTGTCACCAGCAGTTATGCACAGGTCTTCCTCCAAAGTGATATTCTTTAAATTGCACATTATTTTGGACTCAATTTTAACGGGAATAGAGATACTTCTTATGACATCGAAATCCGATTCATTCTGAAATGAGAGATATTTATGCTGAACCTTTGAATAGGTAATAGGCCTATCTGCATGAATCGAAACTAACATATTATGTAGGGATATCCATAGCTTAACGTACATTAAACATAACGTAGAATAAATCCTACGTTGTTTATTGCCGCTTTTAAAGTTCTGTACTAAATTTACTGGTAAACTGGTAGAGAATGCCTCTTTCGCATTAAGTCCGCCGTTTGTCTATTTTACAAAGCAATTAAGATTAAAATAATAAATAAATAAACATAAGCTAACCTTAAAAATATACGAACCTTGTAAATCCAACCATAGGCACGCGCCTCTACATTCAATGGAATTTTATTTACAAAGATTTCTAGCCCCGTTAATGCTGCTGCAGGATTAATTCTCAACATTGCTAATCCAGAATTACGGTTTTTAGATGTTTTCGACGAGTTGTTTGCGATTCGAACATGAAGACCATGATGGAGAAGAACTCGGGTGACGTTATGAGCAGAACCATCAATCATGGGGTTAATAGCTCCGGCGATGATGGTGTACACGCTCTGATTAGTGGAAACTGTTCTGTATGAGACATACAATGAATTAAACAATAAATATGACGGTTGATCTTTGTTTTTAATGGCAAAAACAGATGAGTTCGAGACGATTGTTTGTGTAAGCGCATCGATCAATGGTTTTTTTGGCAAAAAAGAAATCCAGATTTTTTAATTCTTCTTCTGTAGAGATTCTTTATAAGGTTCTTTATAAGTAGGCATGTATACCTAATCTATAGACAGATATGATTAAGTCACATCTGTTAAGTCTTATGTTTTTAGAGATCAAAGAAGAAAAGCTATAAAATTTCCACTCACCCATTTTCTAAGTAACCCAAAACATCGATGCAGCTTGCGGAAGTCAAAACCCAATTTGGCGACAGCAAAGTACCAGCGCATGTATGCGCAGTTGTATTCGACCGACTTTCAAAGATGGCCACCAAAAACGACGTTTCCGGCAATTCAAAATTTGATGCATTATTTTTAAATCTCTGCAGATTTTCTTCATCTTTGCATTTATAATCAACAAAGACTTTCTGAGTACCGTTTAATTTGGCACTTGCGACGGAAAACTCATAACCAAAATTATTTAAAGAATTTTCGTAATTAGTATCATGAGTTTCGACAAATTGTTTACGGATTTCGTGCTTCAGCGGTCGTAATAAAGTCAGACTCAAATCTCTGTTTGCAACATCTATAATGTAATCTACTAACGCTGGTTTACATTTATGTCCTTCATTGCTAAACGAAGTTATTTTATCGTCGATGATCTTATCGAAATCGACAGTTAATTCTGAAACGTTCATTATATTTTTTCATTAAAAAATATTACCTACTTCTTAGTGGGAGTAGCAGTAGAGACTAGGCGACCTGCCTTAGTCTGGCATTTTTCGATCTTGTATAAAATGAATTCCAACATAGCGTCGGTTTATTGGGAATGGTATTTTCGATGATGAGAAAATAAGGAACAGTTAGCGTGAGCAAGGAAAGTAGACCGAACAACAAAATTATTTCGACGACCTGAGATGTGGTCTGGAAGGCACGTAATAGCCGTGTCTGCCGGCTGCAGTCGTCAACCCCCTATTACTCCAAACTGGGCTATCTGTGCTCATTACCACGAAGAGATTTGTGCCCCGGCAGTGCAGACATTATTGATGATGACACCTTCGAGGTACCTAGTTTTTATAACACGAGTGCTGAGGGAAGAGCAGGTATAGTATGATGTCTATTAGTCGGGTAACAAAAATTTCGTTTAGTTCACCTGCCACAGTATCCACTAACAGTACTACCAGGATGGTGTAAGCCATTCCAACACAATGCCTGTTTACTGCGCGCGCGCCGCGCGTATGCACATAAAAAGCAAACAAACGATATCTGCGGAAAAGTACGTACAAATTATAAACACATTTTCAAACCTAATCTACACGTGTGGAGTGACAGCTATTTACGGGTTTTTCGATGGATACACAGTATCCAGTTTTCTTTTCTTAATAATAATGAATATTAGTCTTCAAAAATATTGTCATCGAATTGATACGCTTACCGACATGTTTAACCAACTTCAAAATCGTATACATTCAACTTGACGGGTTCTATTTTTTTATGTATGTTCACAAATTGTGGAGCGATTTTCAAAATTCTTATATCTTATGGGCCCGAGATTATAACATATGAATATTATCGCGTATTTTGACAACGAACGTATATTTAAAAATAAACCTTATCTTTATATCTTTAAGAACCACACTAAGCCAATCCGTTATACTTATAAGTTTTGTACTTACAAGTATAACTTGTAATTTACTGGTGAACTGTTAGAAAATGCCTCTTTGGCATTAAGTCCGCCACTTGTCTCTTTCACTAGGTAACGAAGATTAAATAAATATACTTCGATTAGTCCATAAAAAATAAATTTTCTTTTTGTATGTACTTTTGACATCCGTTCACTCAGTTTGTACGCGGTGGTATGCGGCAGCGGTATTAATTTAATTAATATCAAACTTATACGCATACTATGACTAACATAACAATTTTTATTATTAAAACCGTCTTCTATTAAAATATCTGCGTCAAACGGCTATTTAATACCTTGGTATTCTCTAACAATATGGCACGTGTCAGCTCGAAATGTTTTTGGCGGATAAGGAGTCATACGAATGCACAAAAAAGAAACAATATCAAGTAATGAGTTCAAATAGTATATTATTAAAATCACAAAATTTGTATAAAATATTACAGTTATATAGAACACAGAAGAGTTAGTCAATGATACACAGTATAGACTCTTAAGTTATTTACAAAAACTGTATATTTACATATAAATAACAATATTGAATTCACAGACAATTATGACTAGAACCTTATTTAAAAATTTAACATTTAAAAAAGTTCATAATTTCTGTACTATTTTTAAAAAAAAAAGATAGTTAACGCTGTATGTACATATAAAATAATAAAAAGTAAGTTGCAATAACCTCGTAAGATAAAGATGACATAAAATTTGAAACTTGTTAATTTTTTTAATTTTAAACTATAAGAGTTCCTTTAAAGTTACACATGCTAGCACGAAAAATTATCAATTAGTATAAAGCACAAATTTCAAATTTTATTTTACACTAGCTTTCGCCAGCGGGTTCGCCCGCGTGGACCCTAGGAAAAGTTTAGTGGGATAAAAAGTATCCTATTATCTAAGTCAGCTAACACCCTATCTGTACACCAAATTTCATCAAAATCCGTTCAGTAGTTCCGGCTTGATTGACGTACAAACATCCAAACAAAGAAACTTTCACATTTATAATATTAATAGGATTTTGGCTGTTTTCCCGCGACTTCGCCTTTATAGGTAAACCCGTAGGACCCACGGGACGCGCGCATTCCACCTACGCCGCAGGTGAAACAATATTTTAAAACAGTGCTGTCGTTTAGAAGATTATTTAATGCAAATAGAACCGGTTATTCCTCAGTAGGTATATCTCCGTTTTGAGAAGCATACTGAGTTTGTTGAGGTTTCACCGAAATGAACCGGCGCCATCTATTAACGAGTAGCGTTACTAACGACATGTTAGTTTACAACATACTTCGCTGTTTTAGTTAATTATAATTTGATCTATCTATATCTTCACGTCATATCCAAAGTCAAAGTCAAAGTCAAAATAATCTTTATTCAAATAGACTTCTTAAAAGTACTTTTGAATCGTCCAACATTTTTTCCCTACCACTCGTTCAGGACGTCTTTTGGCTGATAAGAAGAACGAGCAAGAAACTCACCAGCTCTAATATGAGTAATGACATTTACAAAAACCATGTCATTACCAGATCAATACATTATAAACAGAGATAAAAAAAAACTATGGTCTTATAATAATAACATAATCATTTAATAATAATGGAAACAAGATAATGAGTTTAGAAGTAATCACCTATCCAGTTGCTGGATCATCTCAAGTCCAAGCGTTCTTATCTGTTACATAATCGGATACCTTATAATAAGCTTTTTTAATAAGTATTTTTTTAATAGTAGATTTAAACTGCATGATATCTAATTGTTGTATTTTGCTTGGGACCTTATTGTAGAAGCGCACACAAAGACCCTTGAAAGAGTTATTAACTTTTTGCAGTCTAGTGACAGGCACCGTTAATTTATTTTTATTTCTTGTATTAAAATTGTGTACATCACTTTTAATAGAAAACAAACTAATATTTTTACGAACGTACATTAAGTTCTCGTATATGTATTGAGAAGCAACAGTCATAATGTCTATTTCCTTAAATTTCTCCCTTAAAGAGTATCCTTTGCAGGGTATTAATGTAATTCGATAAGCTATTATAATTGTTAACGGTAAATATAAAAATGCTTATATTTGTATCAATTATATAATGGACAAAGGGCCATAATCGTTCATGTCAAGATGTAATTTTTTTTTCACTACATTTCAATGAGTTTGAGTCAAGAACACGATTTACGTGGGACTATGCTATAGTAAACACAATATTTCTCAATATAAAGCTTTGGTTTCTTGTTGTATGATAACTTTGGTTTCTATTTCATATGTTTCTCTGATTGTGTATGGTGATACACAATTCGCTTTTATGTAGGTTGGTAAATATAACAACAGTTATTGAACTAAAGAATAATTAACAGAACAGTTGTTAACTCAAGTTACGCATTGTAATTTTTTATCATACATTTATTTAAAAACATCTAGTAATTGAAAATATTTTACACCACGATATGTACCTACAGAACCAAAACACTACGCTACGCTTCGCGATCGTCTTAAATTTCGAGGTTTTTTTTTACAGATAACAAAACTAAAGAACATTTTGACGGCTTTTAAATCAGCCGTCTTGATGAACGGACCAAATGTCATAATGATTCAACTAGAAAACTAGGCGTGCAATTATGGCTGTTTTAACCAGTTGGCTGCGACATATATAACGTATATTTTTCTTGTTGTATATTATTTACTTGAAACATGTTACAATATTATGTACAATTCATTTCTTTGTATGCATTCGTTTACAATATTAGTCGAGCAAAAAGTAATACTTTTTGCTCGGGCCATTTTAGACCCCCTGTAACTGTTGTGGAGTAAACTAGAAGCCTAAATTTTCAGTGACAAAGAGGAAATCACATAAAGAGGCGCATTTCCGAATCACATTAAATTTGGATGAGTACTTTAAGAATTATTGCAATTCAACTTACTTCTAGCAGACCACAGATGGGCTCCAAATTTTAAACATTGTTATAATTTTGTATACGAAGTAAGGAAAAAATTTAACATTATGAAATATTTGTCCTGTTCTTTAGTTTTTTGTATTATGTATAAGTGTAGAGAATGAAATCTCATCGAAAACATAACATGTAAAAAATGCACAAGTCTCACAAAGCAATTCTTCTACTGTAAAAAGTTATGGAATCAATTTAAACGAAGTCGATTATTTCAGTACTTATCCTTCTGTGAGAGCAGCTATCCGAGCTTGTCATAGATTAAACGATAGGGTGTATAATAAAACATAAAGGAAGTTATTAACTGTTCATCTGGACCAAGTCCCTGCGCATCTCCATGACCTGCAAGACCTGTGACGCACTTGTGACGCGTGTCCGTACTGACGACCTCGTTGTATCACCAAAGAACGCAACTTCTCATCTTTAATAGCTCCAATGATCGTCTTTAAGATCCTGATTAACCCCCGGGACGCAGCCCCGTATGGCCGGCAGACCTGTACCTACAGCGCGCTGGTACGCAGCATATTTCTCACCGAAGAATGACAGTAGCGTCAACTCCTCGGCGTACACTCGTTCGCGGAAGAACGTCCATGATGCGAGCGCGTACACCACTAGGCACACGGGATTCAGTAGCGTTATCTGAGGAATACAGTCAAAATTGTATTTTTTTTTTCTATTGATAAATCTGATTTAATTTCTTTTTCCTATATATTGTGGTCTTTTTTAATTAAATAATTATATTTGTATGGAATTTAATTACTTTTATTTAAGTTTACATGTCTGTTAGTACTTCGTAATGGAGAGTAGAGTTTAGTTATCACTTTAAACGTTATAATAATGAATAAATCTAAAAGATAAAAGCCAACATCAATACATTGTTCACATCAACCTAAGTAGCCCTTGAGTTATGGGAGTCTGAAATAATAGACGACTATGAAATATTATTTTCTTATATTGACCCTACTGGATATTAAACCTGTGACTTCAGAGATGGCGATATCTTGAAACTGGTTTGATCGCAACTCAGCTATGGAGATCGACATTATCTATTAGTCATAATCCAAAGTTTATTATAGTTACCTGCGTGCCAACTGACCAGTAGAACCACCCCACGTAGCTGGGGTGTCGGCACAGCGCGTACACGCCGTGCGTCACCAACTCATGATCGGGACGCTTCACAAACTGTACCTGTTAGGAGTAAATACTCACTTGTTAAGATATTTAATTCATCTTCTTTTTTAAATAAGCAGGAAGGGGTGAAAAATGCAAAAAAATATTTTATCATGCAATATGTTTATCTTAAAAATACTTGACGAAAACCATAATAGGCAAGATAAATATTTAGTTAGCATTGTAAATGTAAAATTAAAAAAATAAACAATTCTACCTTTTAACAGGTCCATATCACTATAATTAGTATGTTAAGCTTGCAAAGTATGACCATTCATTACAGTAAATTAATATTATGAAGAAATAACTTATACTAAATAACTTAATCTACCATTTGCAATATCAAATACTGTAGAATGCGGAAGAATTTTAAGAAAAAATAGAAAGTGCTAAAAAGCACCACACTAGATAGCGACTTTAGCAAAAGTTGATTTTTGCAGGAAATGAATGGACCAAAGATAGTCATTTCCGTTCCTTTTAACTAACATATTAAAAAACTGAAATTTGCAAAATTCAAAACTTAGATATCAATACAAATAGAATATTGAGTTTTGAAAATCAATTTATTTTAATACATGAAAGAAAACCAGAAAAATTGTCATGAAGAAATCAAAAAAGTACCATAGCAACATCTAGTTTTAATTTTGGGAACAAATGTTTTTTTTTTAAATACTTCCTCATTTGCAGAGAACTAATTTATTATTATTTACTATATTGTGCTAACAAAATAAAATCTATAAAACTTTATGGGTGCTTACTGTGTGGTTGAAATTTGTCTTGGCTGTAAACATAGCCGACTTCCGGAGTATTTCTCCACCAATGCACATAGCTACACCAACACAAGACAGCCAAAAATGAGTCTTGAGATCTGTGAAGTATTAAAAGGAATAGTAAGTAAAGATTAGCTTAAAATATGTTGTACATGCATTAATAACATTGTTGTGAATTCTGTGGTGAATATATATATATTTAAATACACATATTCTCCAGTACAACACTTAAGAATAGTATAGGTTACTATTCAATAAGTTAATTGTTAATTTTAAATACTTTCACACAAATATTGCATTTAAATGAAATTTAATTAGACTTTTTATTATCTGTCACCAACCATGTTGTGGGGGATTCAGAGTTTGATTTCAATTTGAAGACTACTTTTTCTCACATTCATATTAAACATTTTCCAATTGAATGTATTTGATTGATATAATACAAGTCAATAAATTAGATGATGTTATATACCATAAACTTTGTTATAATAAATAAATAAAAAATACCTGGGAAGAAGTAAAACTCAATGGCCCACTCTGTCCAACTAGCAACTGCAGCCAATCCATACTGCAGACTGTGGTTTAATATGAACGAGTCTATAGTCAAAGTTCTAGGGTTTGTTAATGCAACAGCCATAAACTCGGAGAAATGAAACATAGATAAAATCATCATGTATAAGCCAAATACACTATAGCCGTTTTCAAAAGTGGCAAGATACATGCCAGTAGCGAATACTGCACCTAGAAATGCTGATCTCACTGAAACCTGAAACAATAATTAGTTTATATTTGTGTTCCATTCCATTAAAGATTTAAAGACTTTTGAAAGACATTTACAGATATTCATATATAAAAATGTTTATCTTCATAACGAAAAATTACTTTTAAGCTTAGAAATCATAAGAAAAAATCAGCTAATTGAATCAATTCTCACCTCATAAGTGAAGCCCTTGTAACAATATCTTAAAATAAAATTAAACAAACAGAAATAGAGTGCAGGACCCCAGTAAGTCAAGGCCCATAGTTCGGACGTATAGCCTAAGCTCGTTCCAGAAAATAACGAGACGGAGAAAGTTAACAATGATATCAAAAAGCATCCCATAGCTTGCCTCCCGGCCGGGCATACTTTTCTAAACGTTAACAAGTCCATTTTGTGTTATAGCACACACACTGGACCCTGTAACTATCAAACTAAAAGTTCAAGTTTTTTGAAACTGATTTTATTCATTAAATAAGACATTTAACCATAACAGTTGCAAAACTCAAAATTATACCCAAAAACTCAAAACAAACGTGTGTCAAAAAACCTTTGCAAAAAACCACCGTCAAGTCAAACTCAATGTCATTTTTTATATGAAGTTAAAGAACTTAGCCCATACAGCCTTGTTTTTTTATTTCCAGAAATTCATCGCTATCTTTATTCATTTCATTTTTATTTTACATGTAGAAATTAATTTATCCCTTTCAAGACGACGGAACACGATCGTACACTTTATTAAAAAAAAATCCCGCGCTTTTTTGAATCAACTTTTCGGGCCCAAGACGCTACCGAACGATGGTGCAGAGGTTTGTTTATGAATTTAGCGTGCAAGTGTAAGTGTGACGCCATTCTGTGTTGATTGACCACGCGGGAAAGATGTCGGCCTATTTTCTTGAACGGAGTGGTCAGCGTAAGTATTTATTATTTTGTTATTTATTCATCTGTTTTAGTTAAATTTTGCTTTTAATGTTTTGTTTAGGTAATAATGTTATCAGCTAAACAATAATATTTAAGCTTAATTATTTGTATTAGAGAATATTACCTCTCAAAAATTTGATTGCACGATCATAACGTTCCGACTCAAATTCCATTTTTAAAGTGTAATGTCGAACGACAGCGAATCATTAAGTTTTTGCTTTTAATTAGAGTTATACATTTTTTTTCTCTCAGGAAAAGAACTATCAAGTGAGTTGTTGCTTGAACTTATTGGTGATGGCAATGATTCCGAAATAGAAGGAGTAGAAGACGACGAGGGTGTTCGAGATGACTCGATGGCTTTTCATGTTGTTGACAGTGATGAGGCTTCGCCAGGAAACCAGAACTCACTCTGGAAAGTGCAACCTGTACTTACTCAAGTCAAGAATGCTTGCGACAAATTAGAACGCCAACAAGGATTTTATTCAATAGATGAACAGATGATTCCATTCAGCGGGATATGTCCACGTGGTTTGCGACAAGTTATTAAAACAAAACCACGTCCACAAGGGCTAAAAGCTTTCGTCGCTACTACTCACGATGGTTTGATGATTGACTTCGAAATTTACCAGGGTGCTAAAACAAATTTTGGCGACAGATCTCTAGGCGTTGGAGCTTCGGTAATTCTTCATCTCTCTAAATCTATTCCACGCGGTAGTTGTGTATATTTCGACAGATTTTTTTCTTCGATACCTTTACTCGAGAGATTAAATGTATTGGGACTCCATGGAACCGGCACAATTATGATAAACCGAATTCCTGAGAGAAAAAAACATGGACTTCAAGCAAGATCGCAAAATGAAACGTGGCGATTGTCAGCAATTCGTTAGCAATGATATTGTTGTTGTAAAATGGATGGATAACAAATCTGTACTGGTCGCATCCATATGTACATCTGGAGATAATTCGTGTCTTATCAAGCGATGGGATTTAAATCTTTCAGCATTTACTGACGTAAGATGTCCAAAAGTAATAGCAAATTACAACAAGAATATGGGAGGTGTGGATATTCTTGATCAATTCGTTGAATATTATCGGACTTTCATAAAAACGAAGAAATGGACTCTAAAAGTCATCCTCCATTTTTTTGACCTTTCGATTTCGAATGCATGGCGATCGTACGTATTAGATTCGATTGCTACTGGAGTACCCAAAAATAAAGTTATAGACTTGCTGGAGTTTCGAATGCAGGTGGCAGATGGCCTAATCAACGCACCAGATCGTAAAAGAAGATCTGATACAGATGAAATTAATGAGAACCTGTACCCGAATACATCTAAATTTCGTCGACTCCTTCCATGGCCAAAAGGTATGATGAATCCACCTTCCATGGCCAAAAGGTATGATGGATATGACCATCTTCCATCATTCGATAAAATAGACTGTCCAAGAGCATGCAGGATGGAAGGATGTAGAAGTAGGTCCAAGATACTATGTACCAAATGTGAGGTTTATCTTAGTGTATCTAGAAAACAAAACTGTTTTTTAGCGTATTATACAAAGTAATAAGTTTCAGACTGAGAAAACTAGTCACTAAATATTTTTTGTTATAATTTTATCAAGTCTAAAGTGAGTTGCAATTTGATTAAGACTGATTATTAATAGTTCCTATCATTCTAAATAATAAATAAAAATATGTTTCTATGATTTTTCTTTATTTATTTCAATACTTTTCATTGAAAGTCTGACACCGTCACAATCGTGCACTTAAGTTATTTGAGCCTGAACATCACGACCGCTAAGAGGGAGGGGGGGCATTTTTGAAAATATTTTTTTTGAGTACCTTATATAGTAACTAAAAAATGTCTATAGTTGAAAAACTCGATTTCGCAAATAAATGAATCAGACCTGAAAGGGTTATTCACTTGACATTGGCACAATTGTACGAAATACGCAGATAAGCCAGTAATAAAAGAAGAAGAAGAAGAAGAAGTTTCTGGTTTTTTTTTAAGTTTTTTCTCCCTTTCTAGATAAGCAAAGGACTTCATACCATACAGCTAAATCGTAATGTAAAAGTCAAAATAATATTGCTGTATTGTTACAGGGCGGCCTTACCTACGAAAAAAGCGTTTATTTCGAAACTTGACCCTGAAACAAATTCTCCGATGGAGTAATGTCCTAGGGCACGACACATAAAATCGATATCTATGTTGTATAAAATAAAATTAGTAATTCGTTGAACTGCTACAAAACTACTACTTAATAATTATATAATATATGTAACTTCTTTTGTGAAGGACATGGCTACACTAATACCCTTATATAACCCTTCTATTAATTTCACATGTGAATTTAATCAAACCGTGTTTATTATTTTCTTAATTTATCAATTACTAGCTTTCCGCCAGCAGCTTTGACTGCGTGGTCCCTAGGGTTTAGCAAAATAAAATAAAGCAACCTATATTGAAAGAATTTTTAAAATCGGTCTAGTAGTTTCGGAGTCTGTTCGTTGCAAACGAACAAAAATTAAATGTTTCCATTTTATAATAGGTCTAAAGGTCTGTAAGCTATTTTTCATGTCTATCTTTGACAAGTATAATTTTAAGTCTTAAGAAAAATGCGAACAATAAACCTACTTCTTTAGACATTTGTAAATATAGCCGCGATTTCACCCACATAAATCATAGCCTATTTTTTTTTTTAATTTATTCTTTATTGCCTAACTAAGGACAAATGGCGGACTTAATGCCATAGAGGCATTCTGACCCGGCGAACCATCATATTTTATTTCTCCAATTACGACTGAGAATTTTTTAAAATACAAACCTTGTCGTCATCTGACAGTAAGAAATAGAATATAAAAAAAAGAATCATCCAATTTGATGCAGAAGTTATGATGCGCTTACATACATTTCGGCGATTCATTTTTATAGTTATGCTATGTCAACCCCGTATGATGGAGCTACCCAAAGTAAAAGAATTTTTAAAATCGGTCCTGTACTTTCAGAGATTATTCAATGGAATCTTTGGTCCATTTGTTTCCTGCAAAAATCAACTTTTGCTAGAGTCGCCATATAGTGGAGGTGCTTTTTAGTGCTTTCTTTTTTTTTAAATACTTCCTCTTTACACATACTAAACCTATTTATATTATATAATACTAGTTTTGCCCGCGACTTCAGTCGCGTGGTTTAAAGTCCAGAAATGAGAAAATTCCATAAAAAATCTTCATCCCCTAATTTACCCCCTTGGGGATCGAATTTTATAAAATCCCATCTTGGCGAGCACCTACGTCCTAAAAAGAACTCGCATGCAAAATTTGAAACTCCTAGAACTTGTAGTAACGAAGTTTCATACAAATTTTCATCCCTTAATTTACTTCCTTCGGGGTGGAATTTTCAAAAATCCTCTCTTAGTGCTCCTCTAAAGTCCCTACGGAATCTTCATTCCAAATTTCAACTTTCTACGCTACTATACTGATTTTGGAAAAGTGCTACGCTTTTTGGCGTGTCTGTTGTATGAGATTGCTTTTATTGGTTTTCGCTTAACCTAAACCAAAATAATCGTTACCATGGCAACATTGCTTGATTGACAGACGACAGACAATGACACTCGTTAAAATAAAAAGGTTTCTTTTCTTACTTTGATTGATTGAATGTTCAAATCATAGATAATAATACATAATACTGTTCAAATTCTGATTGGTGCATCGTGGTGACATTTTATTTTGTATTGGTTAAAGTTTTGGCGTAACTATATAAACATTCATATTAAATCGTACTTTACTCTTTGAAATAAACTGAAAAGATTTCAAATTCTGGTTATCTTCAATGGTTTTAGAAGTTTATTTTCAATTGCCAAAATAATGATTTTACATATGATTATGTACATCACATAGCCATATGTAAAATAATTATTTTAACTAATCTTTAAATCTTCCGAGGAAACCGCGCACAAATTTTATTATAACTGACGTAATCAGGCCGTGACAACATCGGCTTGATTATCATGCAGGCGGCTTTCAACTAAATTAATTTCCCCTTCGAATAAAGTGTAAAATCAGTGCTACGTTCGTTTCGAGCACTTTCAAAAGTGCTGTGCAATTTCCTATGTAATAAGATTGAGTGATAGTTAACGCTGTATTAGTATCGCACAATTACAGTGTAGTGCTTCGTCGGCCCCTGAAGCGTTCGGTCGTAGGACCCACATCTAGTGGATGTGATCAGCGACATGAACGATCCGTGGGATGTGAAGTCAGTGAGACAGGCTGGTCAATACATCTCTTGTATGAAGATAAATGGAGTGCCATTACTGCCTCCCGTTGTAAGTTAATTTATTATCTCCTATTTGCTGGTCACTGAGCCGATTCATTAAATAAAAGTAGTTATATATTTTCTTTGTCAATTATGTACATCAATAGAATGAGTGTGTCATTATGATAAAATTTTCTTTAAAATTAAGGAACAAAAATATCAGAATTTCATTATAATCTGAGGACACAAATCTTATGATGCTAGAAAGTCTAATATCTTTTTTTATATATAAAGTCCAATTAGACTAGACTTAGAAACCAAGATTAATGAAAGAACTATCTCCTTTTATATTTTACAGACAGAAACATCTAATTGTTGTGCAAAAAACAATAATTGCAACAGAAGAATTTGCATTTACAATAATTATTGCAGTGTTAATATTTTTGGAAAATTTTATAAAATTAATTTATTTAAAGGTGATTTTGAAATACTCTGTAGTTATTTAGAATTGTTTTAGTTAACTAAATTTCTTATGTTGATTTTAGCTGTCCAAAGAATGCCGAAAAGAGATGCAATATTATAAATTGCTGGCAAAAGAGGTAGAAAAACGTATTTTACATCTAAAACCATACATTGATAGTGACACAGATTCTAGTGAAGATAAGACTGATGCCCCTGAGCTTCCTGAATGTGAACATAATTGTGACCTGCCTCAGGAAGAACCAGTATATAATGTTAACATAGACAAAATAAGTGCTGTTGCAAATGAAATAATAAACCACAAAACTTCTGATAGTTCTGACTCATATGATGCCAGTGTTATATCTCCTATTACTAGTTCTCCTCAGAAAATAGTGATTGACTTAAGTTTGAGCATTAATGAAACTAGTAGAAATATTTTACCAAATAAGAGTCCAGATGCTTCCCCACTGATAGATTTACCAGAGAGAGATTACAATTGTACTGAAAAGAAGACACAAAATGATATGCTAACAGACTTGAACTCATCCAATTCAAACAAACAAAGAAAAATAGCAGCTGACACCATAAATGTTGATGTTAACAAAGATATCTTATCTGATCCATTTCCAGATTTGTCTATTAATCAGGATGGTCCATCATCTCTCAGCTCTAAAAGTTTTACTGGCTCCCTAATTGACATTTACACTGAAAGTATGAAAGAGTCTCAAATGGCTCCTAAACTTATCAGACAAAGATCTTACACTTTGCTCAAGCCAAGTCCTCAACTATTGGCCCACTTGGAAGTGCAGTCCCTAAACACAGGAGTAGAAATGAGTTGTATTTCTATGAGTGACTCTATTTCAAATCTTAACTCACCAAGCAAGAAACGTAGAAGTTGGGATTTAGAATCTGCTAAAGTGAAATGGTCCACAATGGCCTTAGAACTAAACCAAAAAAATATGCCAAAAGTTCAAAAACCAAATAGTGTGTCAAAAAATAGTTTGAAACCAACACCTAAGAAGTTACAGTCATCTTCCCCACCTAGATCGAAATCAGTATTGCAAGATAAGCCGAGGCGCCCAGCAGGAGTGACCAAGGGGTTACCTAAATCAGAACCAGTTCAAAAACCTATGAAGAAAGCTGTAAGTCCTGTTAGAAATGCCACTGTCAATCATGCAGTTACCAAAGAACCCACTTCTAAAACCACTACTCCTAAAAAGGAATCATCAATACCAGTTTCTCAACTGATTTCTGAATCAGATGATCCAGCACTACGTGTGAGAGAACTATACGAAAAAATACAGAAGCAACAACTTGCCCAAATGGCTAGTTTAGTTGAAAAGCAAAAAAAAGAACAGCTTTTACTGCAGCAGGTATTTGAAGAGCAAAATAATTTGCTGTACAAACAACTGAAAACTATATGCCCTAAATCACCAATTGAGGTGAGACAAGCTTGGGGAGAAAAGAATAATGAAGGTGTAGAAAGAGGACCTGTGAGTCTGAGCCAACTGATTAATCACAAGCCTCAAACACAATGTGGGTATGATAGTCCAGTGAGCGACACATTGAATGAAACAAACAATTATATAATTCACTGTGATGACATTCTGAAAAAGAGCAAAGATATAACAAGCAGTCTAAAAAAACAACATTCCAGCCGTGTTCAAAATGGACATCAGGCTGGTTCTCCTCAATTGATTTTGGAGGGAACAAAGACAAGGACGCATTCGCCTTCTAACCGTTCGATATCACGACGTCTAAATTACGATACTAGTGCGTCATCAGAACGCGAATATGAACCGATAATGACCGACCGAACTAACGACACAATGGCTGACTTAAACGTAACTTTTCCCACTGACCAGAGTGAAGATGGTCAATCTTTTAATCTTAATAATACTGTTATAAACCAGCTGTACAAAGAAGTGACCGTGGTCCATCGCAATCCAACAGCAACTGGCTCGAGACAGAACTCTGCAACCTCTGCCAGGGAAGATACTGATCATAATAAACCTAGTCAAATGCACAGGCTGCTTAATACAACATATGCTTCACAGCCAACTCCTGAGCAGGTAAATTTTATTGCAATTTATTTATTTACTACCAAAATTACCATTAAATACCTTATAAATGAAAGAAATGGTGTTTCAACTTTGTCAATTTGAGTCTTTTATGTAGCTTTAGTCTATTTCAAATCTCTTCTATGTTTCCTGCTGTGGCTGATTAAACAATATATTTTCTGATAAGGATTTCTTACAACAATATTTTTGTGTCAATAGTGAATTTTCGATTTTTGTTCAGTTGAAAAATCTTTTTATATCCTTCTTTATCTATTTAAAATCTTTTCTTAATTCTGCTACCATTGATCGAACAATATATTGTTGATAAATATCTGATTTTACTATGTTAAGATTTATTTATTTATATCCAAGCTATAATATTGAATTTGGTTAGTAGTATTGTCTGATCAAAGTGTATTAGTGATATTAATAAACCATTCCTAACATCCATTCATAATGTTATTTAAAATACTTAATTTATTATCATATTCCATCATTAATCTTCTCTGACTCGTCAACAGAAACTTCTACTATAAACTTATGCTGGTTATTTTATGATTTCATTTCTTTTTTGTTAACAATTTTATGTATATGAATGACAGATTTGTGTTCGTATCCAGTTTCCTGTTACAAGTTCCCTTAATTGCTAATGCACTGGAACTTTGTCCAAATAACACCTGCGTTACATTATATACCTAACACCTGCGTTAAAAATAGTATAGATAGCACAAAATGCAAGAGATAAATTGTTTATTATTTTTGTGAAATATTTATAAATAATCTCCAAAATATTGTTAAAATAATTTAATGCCTCAGAGTGCCACAGACATTTTTTAAACATTTTTCATTAAGAATATTTTTCAGTATATAGCATTGTAAATGTTAAATTTATCAAATATAATAACATTCTTTCTTTATTTATTTCATTAATTTTTGGAAAAGGGCAATTTACATCTTAATACTTCTCTTCTTCTTCTTTATTGTCTTAAATATATGGAAAATAAAAGTGTTTAAAATTATTTTATTGAAAAATAAAATAAAAGAAAGGATATTTTCTAAACATAGCTAATAGTAATAATGACATTAAATGAGTGAGAGGCATTAGATATATTCATTTTTAGTGAAATTATGTTTACTTCATGTAAACATCTTAATAGCAACTGCTATTTAAGTCAACCATAACAAGTATCAACAAAACTTAAGAATAGAAAACAACAAAAATAATAAAATATTGTATGTAATCTCAAAACGACCCCACTCAATAAGTGTACTCGTAAAGTGTTTATTTGTTAACGGTACTAATCGTTGAACGTAATTACGTCACCAAAATGGCGGCCAGGCGCATTAGCAATTTGCGGGGATTATACGTTCTTCAATTTACTTTTCCTATCCTCTGTTATGTCAATCGGGCCCCGATCCTTCGCATTTCTGTGCACAATTTTATGTACGGTCGTTCGTAGCGGTCAGCCGCGAGTCGTATAGTGGGTTGCGCGCGCGGGTACCTCGTCCGTCGGCTGATGCGCACGGCGCGCGTGCAGGCGACGGTGCAGACGCTGAGGGACGCGTTACTGTGCGCGCTGCAGCTGCACCGCGACAGGGACGGCATCAGGGGCGCGGACGTCGACCTGCACAGGAGACTTATACAACAGGTCCTTACAACGCATCGACGTCAGGCCAACAACTAAGCGTTTGTGTAAGCGAAGTGGCGAGGTAGTTTCGACCTAAACGACTCGAAGACTGTTTTTAGACAAAATACGACGAATAGAGAGATGAAAACTTATATTGATGACAATAATGAAACATGTACACGACTGAACGTCAGGTTACCCCAATGAGTCAAATTTCCTCAAGTGATTTTGTACTCTACGCGTAAAACATTAAGACTTAAAATCGACTGGCTTTGTATCATCTAACGTGCTGTTGACTGTACACATGGCAGCAAAACAGGTTGTTATAATGCAAAATTCCTGCAAACAATTTTGAACTAACTCTTAAAACATTCAGATTTAAAATTATTTGATGCTGACGTGATGTCTACTGTACACGATACTATGGCAGAACAATTTGACGAAGGCATCTCGAATTTGGATACAAGTACTGAAAGAAAAGGGGTTTGCTGATGTGACGTCACGTTTAGATTATATCACGCTACACTTCTGCACCAAGAATAAAAAAAAATATGTAAAAATATAAATGTCATTACACAGAATATAGTAATATATAGTTTTTGGTCTGATGGCGTAAAAATAAGTTATCTTATGCTGGGTGGATATATCTAATGCATGACCTGGAAAATTTATATTCAATGAAGTTGGCAGGAGCATGTTAATGCTCTGGCTAACTAGCATAAATTATTTAGTACATGAGATGTTATTAGAAATTTTCCATCGTTTAATAATAGGTGCACAATCCATAATGCTAACGGATGGGATACTTGTGCAACGTCCTAGTTTATTGTGCTTCATTATTTTTATTTGTCACTAAATAATGATCTATGTTGATGTGGAATTGAAAGAAAAAACGCACAAACGTGATAATGTGATATTTTGTAGATCTGATGAGCTGCTTTGTACACAATGCTTCACCTAATGCGTAATTCGTTAAGTCAAACGAGTGGGTTTCATGATATTCACATTGAATCATTTTAGAATAAACTACCGCTAAGTGCTCATTGATCAGCGTTGAAGGTCATGACCCATCCTCCTATAATGAGGGTCCGAGCTCATTGACGACCTCGATGTCACGGTGATTAAGGAGTTTAGTCTGTGATTTGTGAAATCTAAGCGACTCTCGCAGCGGCTAACCATCAGATGGTTGACCGAATATTTACTATACCAAACTTTTCGTTTACGTTTTACGTTAAGCCGTTGGCTTCTATGGTTTCTGCAGTCTTTAGCAGCCCACCAAACTGCACGTTTTCTATACATGATTCTATTTAAAATAGAAAAAAATATATTAGACTACATATCACATACATTGCTCAGATTCCAAGATAAGTAGCTAAAGCTCCCGTATGATGAAGTATCTGAGGCAGCGAAGGTGTCGCAATACCAAGACCCGAGACATATAGTTCATTTTCTACATTGCTCCAACCGGGAATCAAACCCGGGACCTTAGAGAGGGCAACACTCTGCTACGGAGGTCGTCAAAATGTGCATGTGCTCTAGTCGTAGGGACGTTATAATGTTGCTGACGACGAAGCACTCATGGTAGTTGTGTACGGTCCAGATAACAGCGGCGTGTTACTCGTTGCACGACACGTTTATAACTAGCACGCCCGCGGAGCGATGCGCCATGATCGCCGCGGACCGTGCGCGCCGCCGCTCGCTCGCACAGAGACCACCGCCCACCAGGCAGCCCAGGCAGTAAGTGCCATTGAGATTTGTTAAATTTTGATACACTGTGGAGTTCGTTTGTCACGTGTATATATGGGTTGTATGTTACACAGCCGTGGTGTTATATTGACGTAGTGTGATTTATTTATAAACAACACATAATCATGTTACATTACTGTTTTTCATAGTGTGTGTTATTTACGCTGGCGTTCTAACATAATCATATTTTGTATATAGTCACAAGCAGCACTAATATTTATGGGTTATACGGCTAAGTATGTACAGAAGAAAAATGCAATGATAATTGATTAAAATCATTGTCAGAAAAGTCACAGGTAAAGTAAAAGTTTTATGCAGAAATTTTAAATGTCAATGTTATTCATAGGAAGGCTATTTAAATATCCTTATTGCGCAAAGTGAATAAGAGTATTGAAAATTGCATATTGTCTTCTAATTATCATCAAACTTCACTCTTCGAATTAATTACTAAATTTTGATATGAGTGAAAGTACATTAAGATGTTTTTTAAATAAGTCTTTAAATGTCCTTTATTATTTCTTCTTGTAATAATAGAAGGAAATGTACGATATATATTTTAAAATAGTAGGTAGGTCGTCTTAAAAAACCCTTCAAGTTGATGATAAAAATTCATATTTATTTAACACTCTCAAACATTATCTACCTGAACAGTAACACAGACTCACACAGACACACACAAGCACAAATATTGTTGTTAAAAAGGAAGCTCCAAACGCTGTGATAGACTAAGTCTAGAAAAATAAACGTTTGATTATTATTAATTATAAAACCACTACAAATAAATTATAATTGGTAGTGTTTTGTAAAATGTATTCCTTCCATTAATCTCCTGCAGTCTCGACAGTTTGCGATCGCAATATGACAGAGTTCGGTTGCTAATTCATGCCGATCGTATTTCAGCGATAATAAATATATTTGTCTTTGTCAGGCGCGAACAGAGTTCAACCGTCAACTTAACGTTATTCGTTAGTTTCCTAGCAGTCAAATTTTAATGCTCGGCGAATGAGTTTTGCGATCGCTTCAATGTCGGGACCGCCATCTTTATATCATAAATAACATGTAAATGGTGTCGGAACTTTTAGTATAAAGAAACATCATTAAAATTTGAATACTGGTACGTATTAAATCCTTTTCTTCAAAATAATATGTATTTAAAACAGGGATATAATGTCGCAAAGCCACAGCGGTGTTTTCCCAACGCGCGCCAAGCGGCCTTCCACGGCGTCGCTCATGACTCAATCAAACTATGGTAACACTGTAGTGTCTTGTCTAGAATGTTGCCACTATTGTTATGTTGATTTGCTCGACTCTGTTACTAAACGTGCGAAGTTATTTTTGTTTTTACATTTTTTGGGATACTAAATCTCGGAACAAATGTCTTTTTTTAATAAGAGAAATGTAGTTCATTTTCTTTTCTATATGCATTTAATTTATACATTTTTTCATCTTTTTTGGGCTTTTGAAATGATTACTATTGTTGCATGATATTTATATAAGTTACTCGCTTAAATTTTTGTTTATTATTTACTGTAAGGAATAAGAATGTTAACAACCATTAAAAGCTCTTCGTTTATATTGTAAAAATCGAATACATAAATGTAAAATACTAACATACATATATCTCCCGACTAACATTGGATGACTCGTTGTTACTGGTTTATATATTAAGGATAGTTCTTATTTTGAGCGCTTTGTTTTTCAATGTACGATTTTGCCCCTGTATGTCATATGGACTAAAATTGCTCATTTTCTTTATATTCATCATCATCAGCCTATTAATACACCCCACTGCTAAGGCGCAGGCCTTCCTTGAGGAATCGAATCCTATAGGGAGAATTTGCTATAAACTAACACGCGAGCCCAGTACTGATTGTTGGATGTTAAAGACTGCAGATGCAGCTGAAACCGACAGTTTAAAGTGCCTTCCAAATCTCGGAGGAGCTACAGATACTAAACTTTTGGTCACCCATCCTATAACCGGCCTTTGCAATTTATTAAAATTCCGCATCGCAGATCGAACATGCTAAACACTGCGCCATCGATCTTTTTAGGTTAGACGTACACTACATTATAAATTTAAATCGTCATATTTATAATCCTTACAGAGACCTTTAGCGGCGAGAAGCATACGTCTCTTGGCAGTCGCCGCTATATGCCGAGTCCGCGGCGACGGCCGTGGCGCTGACGGTCGCCTTCTCCTACACCCGCGTGCCTCACACATCTGATAACATGTTGGGCGCCACGATAATACACACAATACCACGTTTGGGCGCCAGGTCTCACAAATGCCTAATGTAGTTTCTTTTTCAATGACAATGATCAGAAACCAATTTCATATATTTACTAGTATCCTTTTAATCGGTCTAAAAATAAATATAACTAAAGCTTCAAGTTTAGAGAAATTTGCTGTTGCATCATTTTGATCGCTTAATTGGTTTTTGCTAATACGTTTGTATTTGTAACGGCAAAGAGGTGAATTTTATAAATTGGTATAATTAAAAAAAATTGTAACAAAAAAGGTTCTTCTGTTATAATTGGAACTTAGATATGAATTTATAATTCATTTGTCCTATAATTTTGGAGACATTGATTTTTCAAAAGCATTAGTGATTTTGAACTAGTAGAAAAACAACCATTTTAAATATTTATAGACTATAGGAGGCTTCTCGATTTATACATATTTGAATAACTGGTTGTAAAATTCTTCCCATAATGATAAGCAACAAAACGTTTTTATACCTAAATAGTGTAAATCAGCTACGAATTAAGTTTTGGATAAACGCTAGCTTCTTTCAATGCATTGTTGTTCATTAATTGTAATGAGTAATATTTCTATTTTATAGAATTCATATACATCATTTTTAAATATAAATGAGTCTTGGCTTAAGTTTTAGGCATTTGATGAAAATATATAAAAAGCTGAAAAATGATTGTTAGATGCTAAGATTTTAAACTTCAAATTATTCATACGCACATCATATTAGCGACGAATTTTAGACACCAAATGTAGTCACATAAATAATATCGTCACAGTTTCGCTCAGTTCTTTATTTGCGCGTGTGCACTTTAAAGTATTATTGTATCACTCTTGACTGAATTATTAATGGTCTCCTTATTATTAAGTAATAGTAAAATTATTAAAAATCACTTAATTTCAGAAATTGCTTGGGAAGATGGCTTCCTTAGTTTTACTTTCGAAAAAGACTATTTTAAGTTTGACAATAACATGTACCAAGTCTTGTTTTTAAGCTTTACATTTATTAAACCCTTAATAGTAAGCAATTCATAACCATTGTTTAGTTACATATATAACTCTGCTTGTTCACCTCATTCTACTGTTCTAATGAAAAACACTAAACACTAAAACAATTGCTTATTACTAAGGTATTAGTGTTTAAATTACAGGTGTGAATAATGACTTTATAGTTATCATAACATTTTATTTATGCAGTATTTAATAATAGGTATTTTATAAAAATATTAAAGTGTCTATTGTATTACACTACTGAAGGCCTGATTGATCTGTTTACAACAGATATTACGATTTTTACAAGTTTTACATGTAATATGATTTTTATATGATTTCATCAAATACTCTTCCTTATCAGATTTTAAAACAATCTTAAGTGTTTTTCTTCTTATGATTGACAATAATAGTATTTTGAATCTTTTAAAATTGTATCTAGTATTATCTAAGTGTTGAGCTACTTTTACTACTGCTTTGGAATTTATTATTTAAGTTTTGTAAACTGAAAAAAATAGGTTGATCTTCTAGTCTCGTCTAATTTATCTTAATTTTTATTATATTTTGGATGTACCATTGTTTAGCTTAAAAGTGCTTTCTATTTATTTAGTTAATAGTTGTAACAGCAGCCTATGTTAACAATATTTTTTCATAATGGTAACAAAAGTGAGATTATGGTGTTATATTTTCGTGCAAAAATTTTATAATGAAGGATATGCAATAAACGAATATATATAACTGCATCGGCGTCTCAATGTTCGAAATAACCACGATTTCTTTGAATTAATTATTTATTTAATATTTCCCTTCTGATTTGGACACTAAAAATATCCAATAGCTCTCTTAGTAAAAAAAAAAATCAGAAATGACACTGGCGCGTTCAGATGCGACCGGAGGGACGAACAATAAAAATTATACTACCATAAATATAACACCTCATCGGGGAGAAAGAAGCGCGTTCTGAAGCACAAAACAATGCACACATTATATAATATATATGTATGTATATATCACTCTGTATCACTGCTCACTCGCGTCCTGCGCACGACCGTCGGAGACACATTCGGAGTCCCGTAGATCCGGGATCTCGGGCCCCGGGGGCTGCGGGGGCGGTCCTAGGGCAGCGTGTACTTGACGTACGGAACCTCCACGTCGTTCCCGTCCTCGTCGTTGCAGCACAGCTCGAACACGAGCGCGCGCACGTGCGGCTCCAGCTTCTTCTTCGACACTCGCATCACCACCTCGGACATCGGGAGGCCGAGGCGCTCCTGCCTCTTCGGCTTCGGCATGAAAAACGAGTACAGCATGCAGACGCCCTGCGAGAGCATGGTGATCTCGAGCTTGTGTTCCTTCTTGAAGTAGTCTAGGAACTGCTCCAGGGTGACCTCGCCGCGGACCTCGAACCGGTCCCACAGGGTCCACTTCTTGTCGTAGTAAGTGTTGACGGGCGCCGCTATCGGCTCCGAGAAGCCGAAGAAGGGCAGCGCGAGGTTGACGAAGCCGTTCTTGAACACGTCGAGCGTGTTGAAGCCTCGCGCGAGCTTGTACAGCTCGAGGCAGACGAGGCCGGCCACCACGGAGGTGGTGGTGGCGATGGCGGGGATGATCTTGCCCGCGATCAGTTTGGATCGGTGCCGGTCGGCGGGCGGGATTCCGTAGTTGGTGGCGCGCAGGTTGGACGCCGCCACGATGAAGTCCATGTGGAAGTTGGTGTCGTCGTCCTTCTCGAACTCGAGGGGAGTGACGGAGAGGCCCTGCAGCTTGGCGGGCGGCGGCAGGTCCGCCAGCAGCGCCTGCACGCGGTCCTGGTCCATCTCCTCCGCGCCCTGCTGCAGCTGCGCGTCCGTCACCGCTATCTTGATTCCGGACTTGGGACTGAACTCGGGCACCTGCCGGAATTGAAACTCGTGGTGAAACACCGATTTCAACTCTGCAGATGTTCGACTACTGGCTTTTGAAACGCAACAGAGACATTTTATATTTAAATAGTATCCGGTGCAGGGAATATTGGTTTATAGGTCGATTATTTGCAAAAAACAAACTGAAATTGTAAGATTCAACATCCACAGATTTGCTGAAAAACGAAACGGGTTCAAATATTGCATAGATACTTTAAATAAACCAGACTCCGAACATCGAACACAACTGCACTGCCAAATGAGATCACAAACGCATACCTCAATATCGGCAGCCATCTGGGCGATCGCCTCCCGGTCGACGCAGTTCGGTATGCCGTAGACCGCGGCCCTGAGGTTGGCGGCGGCGACGACGTAGTCCAGGTGGAGGGCGTCGTTGGGGTCGAACTTGAGCGGCGCGGGGCAGCGCTTGGGCCCGGACCAGAAGGGCGCGCCGCTGGTGGTGTGCTGGTCGGGCGGGAAGTTGTACAGCAGCTGCTTGATCTGGTTGCAGTACTGCGCCTCCCAGTGGAGGCGCGCCCACCGCACGCACTCGGCGAAACTGAGCGGACGCTCGTTTATCGCGTGCTGGGAACAACGTGAATTAATCATCAGTCTTACGGTCAATTACTGAAAGTGATTAGAACACTCTAGGCCATTCTTCGGTAAAGAATTGGACACTTAAGACAGCCAAAAGCAGAAATGTCTTCAGGATCTACCCGTTTGCCTGCAATTGGTTTTACTTGATGTATAAACTTCAAGTAGTAACACGGTAAGAACAATTTTACGATCTGAATGTTTCCAGCTGTTTTCCCTAGAAAATTTCATTACCAAATGAATCATGAATGATGTAATTCTTGTACTAGTATAGGTAGTAAGAGCACTTGTGAATATCAAACTATATGCTGTTGGTTTGTAAATCTACAGTGAGATCTTATACCAAAAAGAACCTGCAAGAAAATGCAAGGGCTTTTCAATATTTTATTACACACAGAGAAGTACAATTCAAATCGTATTAAAGACTACACATAGTCAAGCACTCTGATTGGTTTAGTTAGACACGAGTATACAAATTTGTATTGTTAAGGGCTTGATATTCTGCGGTAATATAAACATATAATAAATCGAGTGTTTAAAAGATAAATAAATAAAAAACGCTCACCCGCACGCTCTCCACGACATCGAGTGGTTGTGAGCCGGGCAGCCTGAGCGCTCTATCCAAGAATCCAGGGTCCCTGAGGTACTGCGCCGCGTGCTCCGCCGCCTGACGGAACAAGCCCTCGAACTCGTCCCGGGCCCACTGGAGAGTATGCTCGATCGCGTTCGGGAAGTTCTTCAGGGTGCAAATAGGAATGCTCTTCTCTGGAGGATCTTGGGAGGAGCTGTACGACTCTGTCAGGAATGGAACTACCACCTGGAAACAGTTCCAATATATTCTCAGTATAGTATAAGCAAAGCATATTACTTAAGTTATTGATGAGTTAACATTCAATATGCTAAAGCGTTATAATTTCTGTTGGTGACCCGCTACGCAAACCTTTTTGGCATGTTTATTTTCTAAATTCTCAGTTTTTAAATAAATGTCATTCATACTTTTAGACTTACGAAACAAATGTAAAACTTCAGTGTGAGAATACTAATATACGGCTGTGACGGTGTTTTCGTGGTTTCCTTTAAAATTACCTGGTAGCCAGATCTCTATCTTTTTCAATTTCTTTAAAACTGAAAATATTTACAAATTCTCTATAATTTTGTTTTATAAATATTACACATCATATACATTACTCAGACTGATTGAGTATCTGAGGCTACGAAGGTACGACAAGACCCAGATCTAAGGAATCTAACCCACAAAAATGGCGACACTTTGAATCCGGTGTGCGGATTACTCTCCGCCACGGAAATCGGACGTCCCTAATGTAGGAGCTCAGGCCTTCCTTTGGATGGTTAAGGAGGACGGGCCATAATCTTCCACACTGGCCCAATACGGATTAGTGGGAATTAAGACTACAAATTTTAGCCAGGACCAACGGCCCGGCGTGCCTTCCGAAGCACGGTGTAGCTTGAGATAATTATTTGGTCACCCATCCCGTGGCTGACCCATGCGAAAGTTGCTTATCAACAACGATCGCGGGCTGCGGCGGTAATATAGTAACAGTGTTTGAAAATAGATACAGCAATGTATAATGGCACACCTGTGTATTTCCCTTGGTGCCGAGCGTGCCACTCTCGAGCAGAGGTTTCCTGTAGTAGACGCAGCGGCGGTCCATGTAGATGCGCGCGTCCACGTTGTCCAGCGCGTTGGCTACTCCATCTAACTCCTCGAAGAACCGGTCGTCGTACACAGACTCCGTTTCTGGACACACTCGGTTCTCTTGCGCGACCACATTCACGTCAGGGTTCATGCGCTTGATCACCTGTTACACATAAGTTACAAATTATTGCTAGAAATCACATGATTTCACAATGAATAATATCTATTTACTTTACAACTTGCATGTATTTGTTACTGATTTATAATCAAAGGAACTTGAAATGGAAACTGCTACTGAATATATTTTGCTCTCTCATGTTTGAATCTTCCTACCCGGGTTTTAAAATGAAATGCCCCAATGAGGTCATCATGGAAGGAGACAAACTAGTTGAAAAGATACTAAACGACTGCATTAAACTACATTTTTAACAGACTTCAAAAAAAGAGGTTATTATTTATCAGCCTATATAATGAAAATTTGACATTTGCATTAAGTCAAATTTTGGTGGCACATGATGTTTAAGTAATCCTATACTATTCTGAGCAAACCATCTTTGAGAATTTGTACTATAGTAATGAGACATGGTATTGAGTTATGCATACGGTACCTTAGCAGCGGTGCTAGACTTAGGTTTCTGAACATCGTAAGGGCGGAAGAGAAACTGACGATTAAGGTTCGACTTTTCGATGAGATCCATATCCGTCACGGTGACGCAGCCGCCAGAGGCACCCACGCCTATCATAGCGAAGTTCTTCAACAATTCACAGCCTATAGCACCAGCGCCTGGAAAAGCAATGACATAAATGTAGTATTGGATAAAAAACAAGCCAATGTAATAAAAACTAGAAATAATTAAGGAACTCTGTAGTTGAGTGGTCCACATGCTCGGCCGCAGTATCTGGACGTGTTACCACCTCGTCTCGCGTCTGAATGTTTTTTTAGGTATCTTACGTTTTTCAGAAGTCTAGAACACAATAGCTTAAGCTTTGTTTTTAATATTATAATTATACCTATTAAGTATATGATGTTATGTAATGTGTATTTATTTATCGAATCAGCCTGGACCTCATGCGCCATGCATGTTTTAGATTGTATGCGACAACGTCATTTAGACCGGGAACTTGTGGTTTTGGACGCCATTGATAATATGTAATTAAACAATGTATTGGAGTGACAATAGTATTTATGAATATTAAATATTATTATTGTAAATTAAATAAATGGATATTTAATGACTTAATGAAAAAGTTACTTTATTACCTTTGAAACCGTGATTGCAAATAATACAAATATTTATATTAAAAAATGGTAAAAAAAAACTTTGTGAAAATTGAATCACCAAATAATTTTTTTTCTAACTAATATTAGACATGTTTTTTAAACATAAATTCATAGAAAACGTCCAATAAAATAATTTTGTTATCTAAAAGTGGCGCTGATATATTTATTCCAGAAATGTTATTTTAAAATTGGTTAATATCTTTTTTTATAATGAAAATATGAGCTAAACATGTATGTGGAAGTCATACATTGAAGAGCATGAAATTAAATTCCCATCTATATTATTTATGACCACAAAAACTGTGTGTGACGCAAAAGATCAATTACGCGGTAACAACTCGGGGTGTGTATTTTTACACAATAGAACAAGTTATCGCGAAATAATAAAAATCAAAGTCCTTATCTGACTGTTTACAAATTAAAATGACAAAGAGATCTAGCAGAATTACTAACAGTATTATGTTATCTGTATCTAAATTAAATAAAGCGATACATTCGCCTGTCGTATGCAGACTACAGATATTTTATCTATCTGAAAAAAGACCTCACCGCCCGACCTTCACTGGTCGTCGACTCTGTGATCCCGTCATCATGTAGGCAATACGTGGTCATTCGAGTTGTCTATAACACAGAATGGTATTTCATTCTGTAATGACTGCCGCTCTTTCTATGAGCATTTAATGGTGTGGTGAGACATGTTATGACCGTTGCGTTGCTGTATATGCGTTTATTCATACTGTTCCATATTTTTGCTAATAATACCTTGTCATGTAATGTGACCGTCCTCTGTATCATGGCCTCAGGTTCATGTCGCAGCAGTAGTATAATCAACTGACCAATTAGGCGGCTAACCCTTCAATTGAATAGTGCCATTCAGTTACCATTCAACGAAACGTTCTACAATAAGGCTAAGTAAAGGTCATTCAACTAATTAACTGTCAACTCACCGGGAACACCGATATTTATTAGTAGGATTAGAAGTAAAACAAAATATATATTGTAGTGGGTAGTTTTATATAAAACTCAATAATTCCTTATTACGATCTGTAATTGATAGACATGGTCTGTATGATTCAATACAAAAAAAACTAACGTGCTCACACACCCAAAGTGGATTAAACTCAAACTTTCATAATAATTAAGTTGTTTATCATTTTGTTGGTATAGATAATAACAACATAAATGATAAACAACATAGTTATTTTGGTTTTGTAGGCGTTAGAATTTAAGACAATCGCGAATCGTAGCGTAACTATCGTCTTAAAAGTCAATGTTATTTTTTTTTAACAGATAACAAAATTAATTTAACGTTTTAGCGGCTTTTAAATCTTGTTAAAGGGTGTCTTAATGTTTCAACTAGAAAACTTGGCATGCAATTAAATGGCTAGCCGCCCAATTGAACGTGTGTTTTAACCATGCATATAACAATAGCATAAAAATGCACACTAATTGTGATTGAAATTGTGTTTATTTGTCTTTTCACTTTGCAATTGATCAACATTATAATTAAAGTAAAACTCTCAGTTATTTTTCTCCGAGCATACAGCGGTAAACATTAAGATAACACAATACATAAGGGAGAACATCATCTAAATACTACGGTGATGAAATGCATGTAGTTTAATTTATCCTTCATAAATACCATGGGTATGTTTGGACAACACTCACCAACAATAAAATATTTCAGTTCACCAAGTCTTTTCTGGAAATCTCTGCCAAATACTGCAACTTGTCCATCGTATCTTGAGCCGATTGGTTTGCAGTTCTCTTCAGTGAATCCAGAACGGTCTTTTGGTAGGCACTCTATGGCATCTAAGTATAACCACTGGACGATGGGGTGGAACTTGCCAGAGCAAGCCTTCATCACTTCCTGGGCTACTACACCACCGATGGCGGCATTCATCGGATTTAGATCTCCTGCAGAAACCTAATGGAAAATAACCAATAAGTTATGCATAATTGTCAATTATTTTGTAACTTATTGACAAAAGAAGGGTTTTCAGGATTCCTTGTTATCTTACAAACATGAAAATTGATTGAGGGAAATGATTTTGGAAACTGATTGCCATAAATAAAATTGGAAAATATCAAATAGAGAATATGCATCCATTTAAAAAAGGCTTATATATATTTTATTATGATCACTATTGCTTTAGTCTATATAAATATAATATAATAGTCAAAAAATATATATTTTTTGTTTGTTTTTGTATTGAAAATAATTATTAAAAAGTGAAGAAAAATGTAGTAACTTGAAAATATTAAATGCTTCTTGTCAGAGCAGTTGTGACAAAAATGTATACATATAAGGATGTCATTGTTACAAAAATTAATACATTGATGCAATAACACCAATGTATGAGCATTATGTTGCGAAATAAACAACAGATTACAATTTAAAAGATGTTTTGGTCTTTTATTTTTAAGTCACTAATTTGGTTAACTATATAATTATTAAAAAAAAAAACTATTATACTTAAAAAAATTACAAGCTGTTAATCAATTTCAGTAATTGAATAATGAACTCAAATGGCCGGTTACTATGTTATTTAGTGTAGAAATTGTATTGATTCCATTTTTTTTGTATAAAAATACAAAACAAATTGATTGATTATACATGTCTCAGATATTCTATTATTATATCATTTGGAAACTTACTTCACTTAAGCCATGAAACATTATTACGAATTCAAAGTTGATGAGTTACAGACACCTGAGTAAATTCGAATACAGGTTCAGATTTTCCCAGAACCGCAGGGCTGTTCTTTAAAAAAAATTAAATCCTAAACAAATACCTGGTTAAATGAGGATAATTTTATAATGATTTAACATGCCTAAAGTACTGTTTGAGACATGCTTAACTTTAAATTGACAATGCAGAAATTTGTTTACACAATTCTGCTAACAGCACATTTGTGGACTTTACACATTAAAAAAAAAACAGTCACAAAATAAGGACAATTTAAAGGATAAAACAAAAAAAGACCTCTAATCACATCTATCTGATTACGAATCGTGTTCTTTGACGTCACGACAAGCGCGCCAAAAACTCCGCATTTAAACTGCTCATAGTTTTTATTCAATTTCATCAATTATTATTGTTACTAAATTTCAGTTTGTCAGTGGCGGGTATTTTTTAAGTTCTATAATGATGAAAATATTTTCAATAAATGTGCATGTTCTCCATTATCAGTATAGGCTTTCCCCAAATTTGACCTGAATCTAGGCAGGGGTGACAACAGACAACACCTGTCCTCAGAGGAATGCAAATATTGTGTAATATTAATATTTAGTAACAAAATATAATAGAAACAAACCTTGCAGAATGTCTGTAGTAGTTCAGAGTTCAACTCCAATTCCCCATCCTTTTGATCATGTAATACAGACTTAGCATATTCCATAAACTTCTCAGCATCTGCATCACTCCAAGGCTTTGGAAGTCTGCCTTCGCTTTCCTCAAACTTATGCAAAGCTGCAAATGCAGCATGCAATTGTTGAGGATAATCGAATTTGCCAAAGTCAGTGATCACAAATTCTGGTTCTTTAAAAGATTCCTTCAATGGTTTGAAGTTGACTTTCTTTGGCATTTTAACTTGTGTTACTATTCCACCACGAGAGTACTTAGTGAAGTTAGTTGTATCTCCAATGCTGAAGGTGTAGGGGCCTAGCACTTTAATTTTTCGAGGTTCACAGCCATTTAATTCTGTCATACCTTGCACCTAAAATGATATAAAAGACTTGTAATGTCATCAAAATATTATATATACAGAAGCTCATTGCAGACAACAATCAAATCAATTTCTTATGATTAATGAAACAATATACTTTATAAGATTTCATTACTGTATGTCAAAAAATGCTACATACATTTTGCATATCATTATACAGGTTCTTTTTGTTTTGTATAATAGTATTATACAGAGGAAAGATTTGATTGTTTTTTTTTGTATATTTTTGTGCATCAAACAGTTATAAAATTTTCACCTTCTGGTAGCTACTTCATACAGGATTGATATAGGCTATAGTTTACACATGTGAAGTCACAATATTTGTTTACAATAATTACTATTAATAAATAAATTACTAATCCAATCTTTTTTATTTTGTACCATAATTTTTTAGTGATTGCACCATGTATTATGACAGCTATGAATGGTTCAAGACATATTTGAAATTGTCATGACATTACACTTAATATTCTGGCCAATGACCCATGCAATAATATTACTCACACACAAGATTAGTCATTTATGAAATTTGCACATTTTTATGTAAATAGCTTCTATAAAAGTCCTCCATAGATATTTAAGCAACATTTACTAAAAAGCAACATATATTTCAATTTATTACATGGTAATAATTCTGTGATAGCAGAATAGGGATGATGAAGGAGTAAAAAATCTATTTAGTAGAAAAATATTAAATACATTTTTTTTTGGTACAATTTAAACAAGAAATGGCTTAGACAATATGCATTAAAGTTAGGAGTGTGGGCTCGCTATGTCACAGTTTTGTAGAAAATGTACAAAAGCATGACATCATGTTACATTTCAACTCAACTTTAAAACCCAATTTATAATAGACAAACAAACAAAAATTATTAGTCATCCTCATTCGTCAAGTGACTATTTCGCAAATAAATTGAAATTATCACCACGGGTGATCCAATGATAATAAAGAAAAGACAAACCTCACTGAAGGTGACATAGTCACCATCTTCAAGACCATGGCGAGTATCATCAAGGCAAGTGACCACTGCTTCATACTCGTGAGTGATGTCGGCAATCATAGCAGAAACGGGATTCTCTCCTGTTACATCAACAACTGTGAACTCTGGTCCAAAGTCACAGAATACTCGTGAGAACAGACCTCTAGTGTCTGCTATGATGAGAGCAATATTATTAGCATGAGTGATCGCTGCTACGCGCTCTTGCTCGACCCGCGAGGCTCCAGTCAGCACCACAACACGGAATTTGCATAAGAACTCCTCACTGAGTGGACCCATGTACGCCGTGGTCGGGACATAGCGATTCAACTCTGATAATTGCTCGCACGAAGCTGAAGCACGATTTTGACCGATAGTACTCTCTGATAAGTAAAATTGAGAAGATAAATCGGTTATTGTACAGTTTTTCTCGTCGTGCAAAGTAACTGATTTCACACCGCCGAGAATCACATTTTTTGCGACTTCCACTCCGAGTCCACCTAAACCAGATATCAGCACGTCGGAACTCGCCATACGACGCATAGCATCGTGACCCAGGACGTAAAGTTGCCTAGAATACAAACTCTCGTCGATTTCATCTTCCACACGCGTTCCATTGTTCGCCATTGCTGAGGAATTGGAACGGGATTCTCCTGTGTTTAGCTTCCGCTTTTTCGCCGGGGGGTCAACGGAATTATCGGCGACTTCAGCACTAGACATCGGGCACGAACGCGCACAATTTTGCCAGAATTTTGCTTCGCTTTTCAAGAGAACAATGAATAAAAAAATCCTATGTAATAGAATGCGACATTCGCGCTCGCTCCGTCAAGGCCCGCTTACTCACTGTATTGAAGTTAGTTGCATGAAGACGTGGATAATTTATCTGCGGAAGTGAATGAATAAAATAATGAAATTTTCAAAATAAAATAATATGTTGGTTTCAATTTGCAAATTATGTAAAATAATTACAGAATCATCGAAATTGTCGGTAGGTAGATAAGCTGGCTGATGAGAAGTTTCGTCATGAATTGCAATTTTATTTTATCCTTTAATTACATTTAAACTTTACTCTTTGGATGACGTCCAAAAAAAAAAGAAATTTTACTTTATATGGCAATATTTTATACCTCATTTTGGATACCACACTTATAATGCCGGATCAACACATTGGTTTCTAGGTTTTTTATTTATATAATCGGCTTACTGTTAACCTCAATCTAGGCCAAGGACATAAATAAGATCTACGGTGAGATGAGCTACATCTAGTATTCGCCAATGAGGAAGTATTTTAAAAGAAAACATTAGTTCCCGAAATCAAACTAGATGTCGCTATGGTACTTTCTTGATTTCTCCATGATAACCCTCCGGTTTTCTTTCATGCATAAAAGTAAATTCATTTTCAAAACTCAATAAACAACTCATATTCTATTTGTATTTTTTCGTATTTGTATTGATATCTAAGTTTCTAATTTTGCAAATTTCAGTTTTTTAATATGTTAGTTAAAAAGAATGGAAATGACTATCTTTGGTCGATTCGTTTCCTGCAAAAAGCATCTTTGCTAGAGTCGCCATCTAGTGAGGTGCTTCTTAGTGTTTTCTTATTTTAAATACTTCCTCATTATAAGATTTTTTTTAAGTCTGGGCTATAATAGTATTTGCAAAATCTATGATGAAATTTTTGTAATTTTACAAAACGTTGAGCATGCTGTAGGTCGTCCTGATGATCATGGTCCATTTTTAGTAATAATTTTATATAAAATAGATATTCACATTTCTCAGAGAGAATCCGTATTTATTTATTTTCGTAAATGGTAACATTTGAATGAACGTCATATTCGTCATTTGACAATATAAAAGGTACTCCTTGACAATAGACTTTGACATTGTTTCAGTGCTGCTGACTTCACACCAGTAGTTTTCCATTTTATTTTCGATCCTGTCTTTGAGTTTGACGACGATAGTGAAGACGGGATTTTAAATTCATTTCATTGAAGATCACGTTGGTGTCAATGTGTGTTAGATTAATTATTGATACAGTTATTTTTGTGTAATCGGGAAAAAGGACCTTTCAAACAGCATGAATATTGTGTGAGATAGTGGTCTTGAGATTTGACTGAATCCTTTTGTTGTTTACCTCTTCATTCAAGTGACTTCGTGAAAATGGTTCAAGAGTACGTGTCCCCCGTGCGGGTCCACAAGTTTCCCTTCGAGATGGTGATGGCTGTAAGTAGAAGATAGATATTATCATAATTTGACATACTTTTTTAAGTTCTTTTTGTATTAAGATAGGATACAATAAGGCAAGGTCATTACTGAAAGTTCAATTTAACTATGAACGCTATAATGTTTTTATGGACAGTTTTGAGACAGCAATATTGAATTGAAAAATGTTACTATTAAATTACAATCCTATCATATTCTATATATCTTTCATCTGTATCATAATGTTTACATCCATCAGTAAAAATAATAATTACTTACCGTGTTAATTTGTTGAAAACAAACTTTAATTTAGTCACCGATTCCCTAGATTAATTAACTTATACTTTTTCTATCACTTATATGTTGATTCATTCTATTAAAAAGTGAAGACTATTTGCATTAAGTTTCTTCATTAGACAGGTGTTATATTGAATGTGTGATGATACCATGACTAAAATTCAATATGTATTTATCATAAAAGTATGATAAAACATTTAGAATTGATGTATTTAAGAAAGACTTGAACAAAAGTGTTTTTAATTCAAATATTACATTGCTAGCTTGTTTGTTGTCCTTGACTAAACCAGTTGCCACAAAATTCTTACAAAACAGTTTAATTGAATATTATGGTTATTTAGGTTACCAAGATATTGCAAATGTTTGAAATCCAGGTTGCTAGTCCAAGTTGAATTTTATTTGACTGTAATAAGTAGAAAAAATTATGGTTAATATTTGTAATTCAAAGTAGGATAAATATGTTTATTACTATTTGTCGCTAAATTATTGATTATTTTCCTTTAAATTTTATTCTTATTGTTAGGTAGTGTAAAAAAATTGGATATAAGTACGTTTATTGATACAAAAAAAGCATATAGTGTAAAATAATAACTGCGGTAGTTAAAAACCTAAATTGCTAATATTAATGCCCAAATGGGGGGAAGCAGACAGGGGTGAAGTAATTTAACATAGGTATTTATTTACTAAACAAAATCTAGTTTGAATGTTTTGGATTACTATTGGTACAAAAGGCTCAAAAAATTTAATATGTGCATATGAGATAATGCGAGGCAGAAATTTAAAACTAGGTATTTGCACATGATAGACTCATAAATCTTTTGAAACAATTTTCAGCCTTAATGTTTGGGAAGTTAAGTTTGTTTTAAAATTTTGTGATGACTTATTGTGCTGCTGTATTTTTACCATTTAATATATATATATATATTTTATTTATTTAAGATATATATGTATCTTATGTGTGCACAGTGTGTGAAGATTGTTTTGTGTTGCGCACTACTACTTATATCTTGCTGTAACCGCCCGCCGGCGCTGGGCATCGTCGTCGCACGTGATTCGCGAAATGCGTGCGTATGCGCAACACAAAAGTGTTCTCAAATGTGATAAAGGTAACTCTGATGGCTAATAAAAACATACTTTTGATATTAATACGTTTCGTGTGGTGCAGTTTAGTTTTTGTACTGTTAAAATTCAGTCATGATTATAATTTGTCAATTTACATGTGGCCAAAGGAGGTGGACAAAATAAATTTGTTTACACTACCTAGCAAATGAATAGATGACACTAGAATTTTGACGATTCGGTGCTTATGTATACAAATATTTTCATACAAAGAATTCTAAATTTCCTCTCGTATCATTTACGGAGAAATTGATTGTTTTGTCTTTTAAAAATGTGGATTTCGTTTTTCTTTACTTTGTAATCTAAGTTATCGAACCAAGTTAGAACGAAAAAAAGAAAAGTGATCGTGACGCTTAGTGTGCAGCGACAATATCTGTCTCGAAACGAGAAAAGTGACTTTTAGAAGTAGGCACGCAAAATGTTGCTAGAGCTCTTCATGCTAGTTTTGTGCAAAGGGAACGAACTGGTTCGAAGAACTGGCTCCCGCAGACGAACTATGCGAACTAGTTCGCATATTTTCCGTTCTCTAATTCGTTACTTCGATAGTTATTTGCATTAAAAAACCATATTTTATGAATATAGTTTACATATTTATTTATGTTATGTTCAATAATGTTCAATGTGCACAATGTTCAATAAACTTGTCTCAACAGGAAGAAGCAGTATCAAAACGAGCGAACAAACTGCCTTAAAATAATTCATATAAGGCAGATCCTTCGCTCGTTTTAAAACCGCTCCTGCTGCAAAGAGCAAAGATCTAGGAATCTAAATAAACGAATGAACTACAAAAGCGAACTAGTTTGTTTAGGAGTCGCGGATAATATTGTTCGATCTCAATTGCGAACTTTTACTCAAGGGTACCTGTTACGCATGCTCAAGGGTCTGTTTAAACCATTTCATTACCCAATTTCAAGAATACGATCGATCGCGATCAGGCGCACCGATCATCCTAGATAGGGTCCCTTACTCCCTAACTTAGAGAGCAAGTTGCATTTGGTAGACAACGCTCAAGTTTACATAAAAGTCCTACATGCCAAATCCTGTCGAAAGCTTGTTGAACGCCAAGAAATACCGCGGAACAATACTCCTTCCTTTGCAGAGTTTATCTTATGGTATGGGCATCCCGATGTAATTGTTCTATTGTGCCATGGTGTGTTCTGAAGCCAAATTGGTGGTCAGATATAACATTTTGTACTTCCAAGTATTGGCTGAAGACATTTCAATAGAAGTTTCTTAAATAACAGACAAGATCGGAAGTTTGGCGATCATGTTAAAAACAGACACCTTCCAAAGCAATGAGCAATATAATCGTAACTTTGCATTATAAACAACTTGTAACGACCCCTTATCTTGGCAATTGATTTAGGACCTCTGCCGTTTTTAAATCAAAGCTGGGTGCTTTTTTTTGTTTGAACAACATAATGTGTCTCCATACTTCCTTAGGTTTGACCAATTAAAGCGGCGCGGATGTTCGCTGTTCACTTTTAACAGCTTCATCATCATCATTTTCTAAATAAATATGGCAGGGTTCATTAGGTTTTACATAATTCAATTTTAATTTTCTTATTGGCCTATAATACTGGCGAGGGGGCCCATTAGAGCGCTTATCTATTTTTACAGACTTAAATATAGAATACAAAACTATTATCAAACTGTAAAATAGAAAATTCATTGCCTACTCAATGCTTTACTATCGAAAATTTAATTGGTAACCAATCTATTGATTAGAGGATTAATTAATGTTTTTGGAACATAATCTAATGTTCAATGTATACATTTTTAGTCGAGGCATAAAAGTTAATGAATGTATGTTTTTTATTTGGTCACTAATCGCAATTCGCATCACACCAAGTAAATGCAAGTACTGGCTACTGGATTTTGACATCTATCTTTGATATATTAATGTTTTAATATCGAGTGGGGAAATTTGCCACTTTTGTATGATTAAAAGATTCAGCTGTATCCAGCCCGGACGCAGATAAATGAATGGTAATTTGTCAACTGACATCCGTCAACGCTAGTTTTCTAAATTGAAAGATCCAATTTCATCTGTATGTCAATGTGGTTTAAGTTATTTTTGTCTGTCATTTTAAAAAGGTTTTAAATTATGGCATTAGTTTTCGTAGAGGAGAGATGGTAACGAATATAGTAAAAGATTTAATCTTTTATACGTTGTATTAATGTTGGTATTCCCTTGTTCTGTTGTTGTGTCTTATTTCAATGTTTGTTATAAGAGGTCATTGACGTGGTTGTTTATCTGTATATAAGTTACTGTATTTATTTTACTATTTGGAGAGATGTTTGAGTAATCAATCGCCAGTTTGATAGTATCACTGACTACATCATGACACAGTAAAACTTAGATGATCCGGAATACAATAATATTATCTAAACTAGTCAGTATATAATATAAACATTAACTGGATCGGTAGGTACTTACGAAAATGGGTAATGAAAAACAACAAAATGTTTTAATGTGTTCTGATTTTCCAACAATAATACAATGTTTTCGATATACCAGACACAAATAAAACGATTAAAAGCAAAACAGTTAGTAACCATCAAAATCGTCCTATTCGGAAGCACCTGAGATTATTGGATCTTGGAAATTTTTCTTTTTCTATGAGTTTAAGAGCATCGTGAACACGAAGTTTTTATCAAACATAAAGTTTTTATAGTGTTGAACAAAACAAACTGTTTATTTTTCAATTCCAACTTATGTATATTGATTGCATAAAAGCTGACAATCTTACTCGTGGAAGGTTTTGGTCAAGGGTATTGGTAGTTTTGTTGATTTGCCTAACCTAACACATTCCTCGTGTTTGTAGAGAAACATTTCATTTCAATGTATACAAAAGGTTGATGTATAACAGCTATTTGCTAAATATAACTTCATCGTTTAGAAATATCTGCATTCCGATGCCACGAATGAATGTTTCTTAGTTGAGTAGGTAATCGTTATGTGCCCATTGGTTTAGATTTCATTTTTTTTTTATAAATTTGGTGAAGTCATAGTTAATGTGACCTTTTAAATTTAACTAAATTTCTTGATATCTCTGTCTTTTCATTGTGCCTTTTCACATATACTTATGTAACATCACGTTTCGCGTTAACTTGTGCTTGTGTTTCGGAAGGATTGACTTCGATTTTGCCTTGTCCCCCTGAATTATCATTCGTTGTTTCTAACTCTGTTGTACCATTCTCTAAACCAGTGGTTTTTAACCGGTGATTCCTGGAAGCGTCCCATACAGTCCGCGGAGCTTCATTAAATTATTACGACATAAAAATAATCTACTAGGTATATTATGTATTATTTTATGCGTATTTTACTTATACGTAGATACAAAAAAAACCACTTTAGTTATCATTATACCAAGTGGGTAGGCTGTGAGTCATGGGCGTTAGCAGACAAGCAAAGGGAAAGACTGGCTAGTACACAAAGGGTAATGGATAGGAGCATGTTGGGAATCAGACTCAGTGATAAAATCAGAAACTCTGAAATAAGAAGAAAAACTAAAGTTACAGATATAATAACACGTATAGGTCATTTAAAGTGGGGCTGGAAAGGACACATGCTACGTTGCAAAACAAACAAATGGAGCAAA